AGGTATTGCAATGCTAATTCATAACAAAGACGATATCCAATTCGTCACTGAATTCCCATGTTTTTTGGGACACCCTGTATCTTCCTGCAGTAGAAATGTTCAAGTCACTTTAGTAAAGAAACCACAAATGAAAATAATCACTTTAAAAAAATATAACATACTATCTAATTTAAACCCGATTTTAATCTAGTTTTGCCATCTTGGCATGGAGGTTCACTTGAAATTACGCTTACAGTCGCCTGTAAATGATTTAAAAATTAACGAAACCCTGCGAGATAAACTATTCGAATTCAGTGTAAAAAGACGGATCTTTTGATACCAATTTTTGACCATATTAGCAACTTTTTTTGGTCTATTTTTTTCTTAAAATAGCTCTCAGCTCGCCATTTAAAAAAATGTTTGATACGTTTTTTTAAAGAAGTTCTTGGAATATTTAAGCGCATATATCACGTGCATGAGAGAAAAAGTGAAAAATCGACCCTGTTGGTGTTACTTACCTATGTATCCCTGAGCAATCGATGCAGATAAAAATACCGTAGGTTATACTCGCCCATGTTGGGTTTTTAGCACCACAGTCGAAGCAAACCTAGCATTATAATACATAAAATATCTTCATGTTGATTGATTTTATACCAGTAAATTGGACATCTAAAAACTACATTCACTACCCGCTGAAATTTTTTTTATTACTCAAAGAAATACTTTAAATTGGATATTATGAATATTAATTAATTTCCTAGAGAAGAATTATTGTAAAAAGGACTTAGGAGTTCTAATTAGTGAAAATTTAAAACCGAGTTGACAGTGTCAGAAAGCAGCAAACACAGCTATGGCTGTTCGAACAGATTCTGAGAGCTTTCATCTACAGAGATAGAATTACATACATAAATCTGTACAAGACATATATAAGACCTCATCTTGAGTTCTCCTCTCCAGTCCCTTAGTAAACTTCCGATGTTGAAAGATTAGAAAAACAGGAAATACAAGGAACCAATTATCAAACAAGAGAAAAAGAACTTGGCCTGACTAACACTGGAGGAGAGGAGAACATACACCGATCTTGTACAGACCTGTAAAATCATACTTGGAATAGATGATGTGAACAAAAAGATTTGGTTTAAGATGTATGGTAACACTGAGATGAAAGTAACCAATGCAAGTGAACAGTCCCTCTGTATAGTAGCTACCAGACCAATTTTAGATGTAATGACTTTTTTTCAATACAATAGTTCTGCATTGGCATGCACTACCTGATGAAGTAATCTATTAAGCCTATCTATGGTCCTGGAAATGGTAGGATCAAGATGGTCCCTTAGAAGTTCCTCTTCAAATTAACAAGTTAGCAAAATAACAAGTACCCCCCCCCCNATACTGGACAGCCCCTAGCCTATCCTGGCTGTGGCGGTCGACCCAGAAATTGTTTTAACCAGTGCTTAGGATCAGGATCCAAGGGGCAAAATATCAAAATATACAAGGTCAAAATATGAATTGTGGGCGCAGCGCCCGGTTCCCTAGCCTATACTGAACCGCCCCTAGCCTGTGCTGGCCGTGGCGGTCGACCCAGAAATTGTTTAATCAGAGCTTAGGATCCGTATCCAAGGGGTAAAATATCAACCAAATACTAAAAACAAAAAAAAATCTGCTTTGATAAAAAAAACATCAGTAACTTATAAAGACATAACTTGGATCCAGATCCGGACCCATTTTATCCAGTGCAGATCCGGATCCGCATCAAGTTAAATGGATCCTAAGCACTGATTCTAACCTAAACTATAAGCCTGAAATAATTTAAAACATTTCATGTACCAATTGCCTCACCCTTAAGTAATAGCTACATGCTAAATAGTGCAAATCTTATTTTAAATAAATTTACTAAAACTCTTGTAAAAACTGATAGGGGGGGGGAGGTAAGACCCAAAACTGAATTCTCTAAAACAAAGACTAATCCATCTAAACAAAGAGCTTTCAGTGTAAATTCAGTTAAGATTCAAGCTGTTGTGAAATGTTTACTTTTATATAAAAAATATATAATGAAATAAATTAACATTTACTTAATTTACCTTGTTGGCCGCCGCTGAACGCAATCTTTTAAAGATTTGATCAATATCATTTTTGCCAGGAGCGTCAGCCATGATTGCAAATTTCTGAAAAAATAAAGCATACATTATCATCAATAGTTAAATGTCAATTTTTAAATGCGATAATAAGTAAATTAGGGTTTGTCCTAGAGAACGATTAATGGACCCCTCCCCCCTCCTATCAATTTTTGAACTCTTTTTTAAAACATATATCCTTTTAAGCTTTGTTTTATTTGAACAACCCTATGACTTTTCGGTACATGTCGTCTTATTTTCTAGTTTCTACGTAGTGTTACAAACCACGTAGAACACTTGTTTATAGTAAAAGCGCAAAACTTAAAAATTGCCGCGGTGTTAATTCTCCAGTGTTTGACCGATTTTTGAGAGTTGTTGGCGCATTTTAGTTTAGTTTAGTAATTTAGGCGATTATGTCTAATGTGGATCGGCGGGTGAACGGGTTTATGAACGAAGAGGAGGGTGGAAGTAGAGTTCACTCATTAGGTAAATTTTATATTGTTGATTCAGCAGCTCTTGTTCTTTGAAAGAATGTTTTAAAAATCAGGGTGTAGTTCTCGGTCATCATTAAAACATTTTTAAGGAGGGGAACAGCACTGTTGTCTGTTAGAGACGGGTCGGCGGTGTTCTCGGCTGGCAGGAAACGCCTCCTACAGTAAAAGAATTCAGAAAACCGTTGCACAGCGGAAACTCAAGCTTAGTTTGGATCAGGGAATTAAATTCGTTTCTAACAGAAAAGTTTTCAATGTCTTACGTTATATTATTATATTATGCCATTAGCATTTGAGAAGTGTCCGATATTTTGTAGTATTGGGTCTGTCCTAGTATACGATTTTTGGCCCCCCTGGTCCAAAAATCGTATACTAGGAAATTACCGTAGTATTCAGTGAGGCTTCACAAAGATTATATAATTTCACGCCGATTTAACGGTTCTATTCTTTTCCTAAACAACTGCCTTCCAAACACAATTTGATCTATTAAACATTTTTTGCGCCTTTTCTTTTTTACATTTTTTTGTCGGCAATGTGTTTTAAACGAGTAAATTAATAATAGACAACTACGTAAGTATAAAGATTTTTTGATTATAGACGAACACGTCATTGATTTCAAATAAATGAAACCAATTGTATCTTGGTCTGTACACTTTTAATTCTTGTGATTTTTCTTTAAAAATGAAGAGAGCAATATAAATCATTAATTTTGAATAAACGAATTTATTTCTTACGTAGAATTCTCCGCATATCTATATATGCGAGTTTCATAAATCGATGATTCAGACGGTTAGAGTGAAGAGGAAGAGGTAAAGTTCATTTATGCTTTTTCGGTAAATTACAATTTTGGCAAAAAGTATGATTAGCAAATGTTTTCTAATTTTTATTCTGAACATTCCCATTCATTACGTAAGTTAAGTTTTGGCTATGACAGAAGATATATGCAAAAATAATAACGACCCAAAAACTTCGTGAATTGGAATCTTTTTCCAAATTTTGAATTTTTTAGAATAAAGATATTTCAAAGTTTGATTAAAGCACATTTCATAATACAGTTTTTAAATCTTGGAAAAATATTGAATTGTTTCTAAATCCGACCCTAAAGATTAACAACAATTCCTGCAGTTATTTCATAATATTATTATTAATTGTTAATAATTGTAGACGAGAGAGTGAGGAGAGTGGAGAAACTGACACCAACATGTCGGATACTCCGGATGTAGATCTTTTCCAGCTACAGATGAACACCCTTAGGTGGTAAACTCTTCAATTTTCAGAAGAAAGGGGGAGTGTATAATGCCCCCCCCCCCACCTCTTATTTTGTCTGAGTAGTTACCTGCCATTTATTGCCTTCCCTAATCCCTTTATTACGAAATTCAAACAAAATTTAATTGAATATTATATTAAGCAGAACCAATGTCTTAATTGTATCAGATGCTATGTTTGCAAAAAAAATAAAGAAATCAAAGACGATTTTGAAAAGAAAAGAGTAAAAAATATAACCAAATATATAGGATGTCAAAAGTCGGCGCGAATTAAAAAGACGCTTAAAAATTCCATGTTTCTGGAATTGGGAGGAAATATTCCCACAACCTTTTTTTTATATGTTTATGTATGTTATATCATTTTCCTTGCACTTTGCATGTGCTTTGTTTATCTTATAACTAAATCGAAAATATAATTTTCAAATTCTTAAAATTACTATTAAAAGAACTATCTCATAAGTTTTAAAAGAGGGACATGAGCGATTCACTGTGGTACCCTGGAAACCTGAATCTGATCATTACTGTTGATTATTACTTCGTTTACTTCAAATACTTTCTCTAAAGTGTCAAAACAACAGAACCCTACAAAGTAAATAAGGCAGTTTTATAAAACTAAAAAATGGATATCTTATTCATTCTTGATCAAACTTTTAAGGGTACCGTTGTAAATCGGACACTGGAAATTACATGTATAGTCCCTTGATTTTTATTATGTTCCAGGCGGTACAAAAAACACTTTAAAGTGACATCTCGGCCAGGGATTAACAAGACGCAGCTAGCTGACTCTCTCACGAGGTAAAGTTATTTTTATCTCAACAAACTGTCATCAACCATAACATTTTTTATCGTGGGTGTTAGACAGGGGAGTATATTCTTACGTCTCCCCCCCCCTTCCTTCCCTGGGCCGAAAGAATTCAGGGAATAAAAATCAAGAAAAAATGGAGAAAATAAAGAAAAAAGAAGAAAAACATTATCTTATTGGGAAAGAAATATTCTGGACCAATAATGGGGGCAATTAAACTATTAGTAAGAATATACTCCCATGGTGTTAAGTGGAATAAACCTAGCAAATTTCATTTAAACTTTACCAATTTAGTTGCTAAATATGCTAGAAGAGATGTAAAAAGTCATTTTACTTAATTAGGTGACTTAGGCGTGGATTCCTTCTTATTTATTTCAAATTATTTTAATTTTTATCTTTATTTTCTTATTTATATTTACACACCTTAAATGTTAATTACTTTGCTAGAACCCCACTCGTGATTGTTTTTTTTTTCTGTGTTTATCCCCCCCTTTTTTTTTACCTTAGTTGGGTTATCTTTAATGAACTTCACACGAATTAGCTGTTTTTGGGGAAAGTTACCCCACAACCCTTGTAACCCTCCCAATTGTTTATTAAATAATTTTGCTAACTGTAGAAGCAAGTTGGACCGAGAGAAACCGGATACTCCCGCGGATACAGACTAGACCACCGAAAGCAAGATGGCCGACCTGACCTGAAACAAGATTGCTGAATCCGCATGAAACAAAAATGGCGCGAGTAGGATGCAAGATAAAACCCGCCAAAATTTTGGCGCAAAATGATGCCTCTGATTTTTTACTGTTGTATTAAACACTTGTATTTATATTATATTTGAATATTTTGCTTATTGTTAATTTATTCCTTGGCCAAGACTGACATAATTTTTTGGGCTGCTACACCTTCCTTCAACCAAAAACACGAAATCGTGAATATATTTAATAGTTGTCGGGCAACAAGTGAATCATTTTACATTTTATATGAACCGCCGCTATCGTTTTTGTATTTTCTAATCTTTGTTATAGTGAAATAATAATTTTCTTCTTGAATTATGTGAGTAGATATTCTAGAAATTATTATATTTATTTATGCGTTGGTCTCCTGTTTAAAGACTGATATATTTTAGTTCCTCTGTGTGATGATGAAAACAATTAAGTTTGAGATCAAATCACATTATTTTGTTTACATCAAGTAAATATTATGTCTCTGATGTATGCTTGTATTTAATTGGTTTATGTATGAAAAAGAAATTGATATTTTTTACAAATATAAGTTTGGAACTTTATATTTTTTTGTATTTATCATTATTACATAGAATTTATGTCAATTATTTTAAATTGTTATGTATGTAACTTTTTCAAGCAAACACATTTATTTGGCTGCAATATTCCTTTGCGTAAATAAAATCATGTAATTTGGGGAAATTTTTTATTTCCCTAGAACTAAATATCTTAATCTTACAAGTTTCCACATTTTGTTATTTATAATAGTTTATAGGTTATTTTTAAGATGCAATAAACTAAATTAAGTTACATAATCTTTTAAATGCGATACAATCTACTATTCATAATTGATTATGATTATATGTAGTATTGAATATGTATTAGAAATTTTTTTTGTATTAAAACAAAGACTCAAAATTTGTTATATTTTGTTGGGGGGGGGGGGGGGGGATTGGCTGGGTTATCAAAACAGCTGATTATTTCGGGCATTATTTTGTGAAAGTTAAATATACTATACAGTACAAGAAAGTTTATTTAATTCATGTTGTATAAACTTTATTGCCTGTTTTTGTATGAATACCAATCTAATAAAACATTTTTATCATTATGCTATAAAGTAAGGATTTCAGAAAAAAAATGGGGGCCCTGTAAAGAGGAAAGAATAATGCCGGCTGACACAATTTGTTTTCTTTACTGGAAGTTGAAAAGATTGAAGGTAGGTACAGTTTAAATGGAAAATATTGTATATTTCTTCTTTAAACTTTTAGCCGTTATAAATACAATGAAAATCAGAATTTTGAAAGAAAGAAATATTAATATTTTTAGCCTGTTACCCCCCGGGGTTCCCATTGTTAAGCCAGCTACAGGCTAACATATATATATGAGTAAAGAGATTTAGTATGTAGAAAATAGATAGAATAAAGCCCTTTAGGACATGATACTTTGACGGAAGGTTGACAGGTAAAATAATAATAGAATATAGAAAATAGATAGAATACAACCAGGTTGAGCTGAATAACTGCAGTTCTGACAAGTAAAAATAGAAAATTTAACATTTAAACCCCCATGATTATAGTATCCTAGGTCCGATTAGTTTAAGATGGATAGTCACGAGGGGTTGCTATATTTCAGAAGAATTGATGTTATCAATTATTGATTGATTGATTGATTTTTAGGATTCAGTGTACTAGGAATTATACTGCCTTCGCTCAAGGTATTGATTAGTTTATGAATATTTCTTAAAAATTTTAAAACTTCGTTAACCAAAATATGTTCTAGGATATTTTTTATCATAAAATTTATTTGTTAATTAAGTTTCATTAGTTGACATTTAAAATGTGTGTTTCAGAGCAAAAATATTTTTCCCGATGTTTTGGTTGATATTTTGTGGTGCGCTGGGGTAAATTCAAAGACTTATTGAAGCATGAAAAAACAGGAGAACAGAAGGAACATCATAAGTTGTAGTAGTTTATTTGAGTCCACAGAGATGAAGATAGCAAGGAAGAGAAGAATTGAACCAAAATGGAGCAGTCAGACTGGATCAACCTAGATGGAGCAGGGTTGTTCCAAGGGTTAGGTCACCATTTTGATGATATTCCAAGATTAGGTTCATTTTACTGTGGGTGATGGCTTCTCTTCTCCCCGCTGATTTAAAAAAAGATTAGGTATAGTTTAGGTTGTTGGTAGAGCTTGATGAGTAGTTTCAGGATAGAGCAGGAATAGTTTCAGGATAGAGCAGTAGTAGTTTGAGGGTAGAGTATGTTGTTTTATTTAGGCTTTAGGCGCATCTCTACCTCTGTTGCGCTGGGGCAAAGATTTATTGAAACAGAAGGAACATCATAAGTTGTAGTAGTTTTTTTGAGTCTACAGAGATGTAGATAGCTGGGAAGAGAAGAATTGAACCAGAATGGAGCAGGGTCGATCATTTTGTATATATTGGGCCTTCTGATGCTAGAGCAATTATCAGTCTTATTTATATCGATAGATAACAATTACGATTACAAAATAAAGTACATGGTTATTCATAATACATTACTGGTTCATTATTAACAATTATATATTTACTTGTTGTGAACTTGATTTAATGTTAAGTTTCTTTTATACTAAAATTAAGGAAGGTTTGACCTGAATAATTGGTCAACTTGGGATCAAGTCTAAAGATAGTTACGGAGAAATTGGACAGTTGTTTTTTTAACTTTAAATTGCTTTTATTAACAAACTGTGTGTCTTTACTCATGATTTTAGAGTATTAATTTAAACCATGGAAAGTCTGAAACTAAAACTTGCTACATTTGCTACTTGAATCTGCATATTTTGCTTATACGGATTATATGCACTGAGCCCGCGATTTAAAAGCTTCGGCTCGAGTCTTAATTCCTTAAACGCAGCTTTAAGACCCAATCTTAGACCCAACTCTGACGACAGCTTGTGTCACGTGATTGACAGCTGCGAGATCTTAGGCTCGACTTAAGGAGTTAGGCCCAATGAAAATAAAACCGACCTTGGTTGGTTTTAGTGAAGAATAAGGCTCAATGTTGGGTCTTATTCTCATCAAAACCCGGAATGCGCCAATTCCAACTATGAAAATCCGCCAACTACAACATTAAACCGGTTTTATGAACTNCCCCCCGATCCCTCTAAAGATGTTTTTTGCTTTTGTTCTAAGTTTTATCTTTTTTCTTAATTTATGGGGGAAAATATTTTTTTCGAGAAAAAACGCCGTATGATTATTTTCCTCTGAATTCTTAAAATTGGAAAAAAATATATATAGCCCTAGATCTTTTCAAACTAGAAATTACCAGATAAGACATTTTTTCTATAATTTAGTTTTAAACCAAACATTTATAGTCTATCTTATTCAAATAAATTTGGTGTTTGTTTGGTAAACTTGCTTTGTATTTTTAAATAAATATTTTTAAGGCCATAAAATAACAAAAAATAGGCACTGTGTTTACAATGTTGTAGATAGTAAAATATTCATCAGTTTCTTATTATACTCCAGGTAGTCAGGATATTCGCCATTATCTTGTGTGTTTTAATATTTGTCTTATTTGAGGTTAATGTTTTTACAGATTCCGTAAATGCATATGTGAAATGTGTGTTAAAAATTAACCTTTTTAGTCACAAGTTTACTTTAATTCAATATTTTACTACTTCAAATCAGTTATTTTTATTTGGGGAATAAACATTAAAAAACGATTTAAAAAAAACTGGTGGAATTTGGAATTACCAACGTTTTTTTTAGGCGGACTAAGAATAGATGTCGTCTGTGACAATAGAAGAAGTTGATCGGAATTTGAACGGAGAAATCCAGAATTGCGGATTTCCTGAAATAAGAAATGGCGGATTAACACAATCGCAAAATGGCGACACTGTACACTTGGAGATAAGTAAAGAGAATGAAAAGAAGAAGACTGAAAAACTGTTCAAGGATCTAACCGTCAAACCAATTCGGATCCTTCAGGTATAATCAATAATTAATAAAACATAATTTTTATGAGTAAGTCGTTCTGAGTTTAACTTAGCTATTAGGTTGATTGATTGATAACATAATATGATTGATTGATAGGAGGAACCACGTCACAGTCTGAAGAAGACGATAAAGTTCCGATTAAAACCCGAAAATCTTCATCCATTGGAAACTCAGGTTGCGGGACATGGGGCAGAAAAGACCCAAGTAAGTTTTTAGGTTTAAAAGCTGTCAACGAAAGTTCAGGTGACCCGTGCCCTTCATTTTAAAAGTTGTTTTCCCAATTTCCGATTGTACCCTTTAAAAGGAGAGACCAAACTGAAAGTGCAGTATTGTAGAGAAAACTTAAAGATTCATTTGATACTAATGAGACATTTTTCACATGTACAATTTTTAAATAAGATCGTAAAATCGTATTTTTCTAGTTGTTTCAGTCAGCAGAATGGAAGTTTTTTTTTCCCAATTATTTAATAACTCGGACAAGACTTTTAAAAGAATTATTTTCTAGACTAATTTGCTGCCTAGGAACATATTTCTTAAAATAAATTATCGATGAAAGCCTTAGTAGAACCGTAGAATTATTTCATTATCATCATTTCCTTTGCTGTTTCTATAATTTTATTCCTAGATTTCTTCAAAATGTCGTCTACACAATCAAAGCAAATAAAACCTCCAACAAGCAACCCTAGCTAAAAGAATTTGCATAAACCTGCTAGATTTTTAAATGTATTTGTTAAAGAGATTTTTTCCCCCAGGACATGATCGGGTTGTTAATAACTTATTTTCCATGATAAAAGTTCATTATTTTTCTCAACCTGTTTGTATACATGCAACTAGAATTTGTTACATGTTTTATCCATGTTATTTAATAATGGTAAAAACACATTTCTTCTTCAGACTGAAACAACTGATGAAATATTAAGTCGAGTTTACGCTCTTATTTAAAATTGTACACAGTATAAATTTATCATTGGTATCAAATGAACCCTAAAGTTTGCTCTTTATTACTGCACATTTAGCTCAACTACCATGTCTAGCCGGTCTCTCCCATTAAAGTTTTTCTCTTTAATACTGCACATTTAGCTCATCTACCATGTCTAGTCGGTCTCTCCCTTTAAAGTTTTTTTTTCTATAATACTGCACATTTAGCTCAACTACCATGTCTAGCCGGTCTCTCCCTTCAAAGTTTTCTCTGTGATACTGCACATTTAGCTCAACTGCCATGTCTAGCCGGTCTCTCCCTTTAAAGTTTTCTCTAAAATCAATTTGTCCGTTTCTTTTCTTTTTCTGTTGCGTTAATCTACAAGTCCTTTTCTTTTGTAAAACCGCAATATAAAATTATCAATTTTCTGATCGCATAACACGGGTATTACCTTCATCTTTGATAAATCAAAGGTTTACAGAGTACCATTGCGAAATTGTCATGTATGTTGATTGTAAGATTTACAGAACTAGAATTTTGAAATAATTTCTATTTTATTTATTTTTTTTGGTGGGGGGGGAGTTGGTTATACTTTTAGTTAAAAAATTTAGGGAGGGGGACTTTTTTTTTACCAAAATATTACCACGAATGCCTACTGTTCAGGGTATACACCGTGGACTTCTACTCCACGAGGCCGGGTATGTTCTAAAACCGGTTCAAGCTGCTCCTAAAGGAGAGCGGGAAGTACAATTCTACCAGCATATCTCTACCTCACCTCGTCAAGTTGATACAGAGTTCTATTCGTTTATTCCAAAGGTGAACAAGAATTGGCAGTTTTGTATTTTTATAATTTTTTTTTTTAATGTTTTCCTTATTATGCCAAAAACCTTTTTTTTTTTAAATACAGGGCCACCTACAAAGCCTTAAACCGATCCTACGGTTAAATTAAATATTTTGTCTTGATAAATATTTTGACAAGGTACAAGTTTATGATTTCAAAGACGTAAAAGAAAAATACTGAATAAATTTGAAGTCTCATCTTTTGCGGCTAATCCTGTCCTAAATTCAAATGATTTCGAGGGTGTATCCTGTATATGTTTAAGAGTTAATTAATACATGAATGAAAAATTATATTTTATTATTTCTGGTGGAAATAATAAAAGATTGGACATAAAAGGCAAGTTTTGTAATTCTTTTTTAAACTTATTCAAAGTTTTATCAATTTTTGTCTAATTCAACAATTAAAAACCTAAAAATAAATAGTTGCTTCTCAGTACAAACCTACATAACTTCTGGGGGGGACATCCCCGGGCAGGCACTAAGTCATGAACAGTATCTTATATTGGAGAATATAACGCAGGAAAATAAATCTTATTTAGTTAACGATGAATTTTTCCCGCATTTAGTCTCACAATAGTTTGTTCCGAGGGAAATAAAGGGCATTTTATCCCGGCAAAACTTGGCTTCCTGTAAATTTTGTGGATATTCATGAAGTTTTCCCGCACTCTTTTTATTAAGAAAAAATTTATTTGTTTTTAAAAATTATCAATGAATTTTAGATTTAACGCAGCTGAATTTTACTTAAATCTTCAATGATCTCCTTAGCTCATTTATATTCTGTTCTGTTATCAATTTAGACAACATGTTTCTTTTGATCTGATTTTTCAATTATTTTAAATTTCAATGAATGATTCCTTTGGTCTAATATTTATTTGTTTATTGACGTTTGAATATTATCAGGACTTGTATTTTTTTAGACTTATCAAGGTTTATGAGTGATAAACTATGTTATTCATGAAATTAAAGATAAGATAATTGCGTACAGGATTTTCGTAGACCATGCGTCATGGATATAAAAATAGGCGGGAAAACCTATGGTCCTGACGCAACTCCGCAAAAGAGGATGCAAGAGGACTCCAAGTACCTTGGTACCAAGAAACCTTTAGGTAGGCGATAATTTGCGATTCTTCTCGAGGATCTAAGTTAAGACGAATGATTGTTAAATCCTCACATCTCCTGACAAAGTAACTATCAGTTCTGATTGCATCCTCACGATTGCACCCCTAACCCCCAGTTGTTTTATTTAGGCTTTAGGCGCATCTCTACCTCTGTTGCGCTGGGGCAAAGATTTATTGAAACAGAAGGAACATCATAAGTTGTAGTAGTTTTTTTGAGTTTACAGAGATGTAGATAGCTGGGAAGAGAAGAATTGAACCAGAATGGAGCAGGGTCGATCATTTTGTATATATTGGGTCTTCTGATGCTAGAGCAATTATCAGTCTTATTTATATCGTTAGATAACAATTACGATTACAAAATAAAGTACAGGGTTATTCATAATACATTACTGGTTCATTATTGACAATTATATATTTACTTGTTGTGAACTTGATTTAATGTTAAGTTTCTTTTATACTAAAATGTAAGGAAGGTTTGACCTGAATAATTGGTCAACTTGTGATCAAGTCTAAAGATAGATACGGAGAAATTGGACAGTTGTTTTTTAAACTTTTAATTGCTTTTATTATCAAACTGTGTGTCTTTACTCATAATTTTAGAGTATTAATTTAAACCATGGAAACTCTGAAACTATAACTTGCTACATTTGCTACTTGAATCTGCATATTTTGCTTATACGGATTATACGCACTGGTTAGTGGTTATATCTTTAAGCAGAGTGATCAAATATTCAGATTTAATGAAATCGGTGCTATTCAGTGATGTGTTTCTAGGATGAAGGAATTCAGCGTTGGGACAAGAGCTATGGAATGAATCTATCCAGCGATGGTGTCGGAGAAATCCTCCAAATATTTCTCAATAATTCAACAAATCCGCCAAAATCCAAATTGATTGCCAGCTGTTTTCTCAAACTGCTTCAGGAAGTTGTGGATTTTTTCGAACGACAAGACGTGTATCACGTGTTTGCGAGTTCTCTTCTTTTTGTCTATGATCTCGATGCTATTGAGACTGATACCAACCGACTTGAGAACTTCGTTCGATTAAAAATGATCGATTTTGCACATGTTTTTCCAGCTAATGGAAAGAAAGACGAAAATTTTCTTTTTGGGGCTCAAAATCTGCACAAAATATTCAGAGAATTTTTAAATGGTTAAAAATTCGGATGATGTGATATCTTAGGTAATTTAGCCCAAATTTGGATTTTATATTTTTTTATTATTTTTTGTTTCCTTTATGAGCTTTACTTATCATGTCTGCCAAAAATATAACTGTGATTTGAAAAACGTTTCCTATGAAATCAGAACTGAAAACTTTAGAATGGTGGATATCGAGATTAATGCTTGATCCTCTCTTTTTCTTTATCTCGAGACTAACCTAATCTTGTACTTGTATCCTGAAAAGTATATAAAATTCAACCAATCATAGTCGCGTATCAGAATGCGGGAAATTTAAAATTTTTGGCGCCATTTAAGATTAATATACAAAAACGGACTTACTAATTTTTGAAAACCCGGTTTTTGATTTTTCTGTACTACAGGGTGTCCCACATCAAATTAGACCACGTCAATGGTTCTAAAATACGATTTGGGGGACAAATCTGAATATTTAAAAACAATGAATCATATTGATAAATTAGATAAGACTAAAAGAATCTTTTTTTTTGCAGAGAATGCTAGTATTATGTGCGTATTTTGGCGTTAAAGATTGGAGATAATCTAATATGATACGGGACGCTCTGTATATTAAAAAAAGTGGATTAAGATTAAGCAAGAAATTAAAAGTGTCCACATTGGATTTTCGGATTAAGCAGTCGGGATTAAAGGTATCCCATTCTAAGGTTCCCAGCTCAGTTTGTTAAAAAGTATTTTGTACAATACATTACTCGCTTTACCTAGTAGAATTTCAATTTTAGTGATAAACATAGAAAATAATTGAAATTCAATGAGACATAATATTTTAATTTTGAAAAACTTCTTTTAAGGCTGTTAATGGCATCATTTTGTTTGTTTCCCTTAAGGGGACTGCCCGTGTAATTTCGATTAAAAGTTACCATTCTCAATATGCTGTGGTACCCTTGAAACCTTTATCTGATCAATAATGTGGAAGATGCTGTCGTTTCTCAAGGTTTGAAAATGTTTTGAAAATTACCTGCAGTAGAAACCAGTTTTTAATATTGTGAACATGGATATCTAATTAATTATTAATACTTTATCAGACAAAGCTTTAAAGGTAATCGTAATTGTAAATCGGCAAATGTCATCTTTAATTGAAACTAAGCCCCCTTTTATCAAATTCCTTCAATAATTTGAACTTTTACTAAAGTGCATAATCGTCTAAGTTTAGGAAGTAATTTTTTTCAATAATTATCATAATGAAATTAAGTATATTTTGTATTTATTTCAAATTATTATTTTTTTTATATTTGATAATGAATTGCGCAGCTGCATCGAGGGAGGAAAGGCACGCTTCTTAGCTTTTCGCTCACCATTTCTCATTTCTCACTTATTTTCTTCCGGTCACACCTGTTTTTTGTCCGGAGATTGTTTCTGTGTTATTAAATGTATTTTTTTGTAAAATTAAAAAAATGTTCTCCTAAAATTTAAGCAACAGCTGAAACTTTACATTTAAGCTGTAACTTTACATTTAAGCTGAAACTTTACATTTAAGCTGAAACTTTACGTTTAAGCTGAAACTTTACGTTTAAGCTGTAACTTTATATTTAAGCTGAAACTTTACGTTTAAGCTGAAACTTTACATTTAAGATGTAACTTTACATTTAAGCTGAAACTTTACATTTAAGCTGAAACTTTACGTTTAAGCTGAAACTTTACGTTTAAGCAGAAACTTTACATTTAGGCTGAAACTTTACATTTATGCTGAAACTTTACATTTAAGCTGAAACTTTACATTTAAGCTGAAACTTTACATTTAAGCTGAAACTTTACATTTAAGCTGAAACTTTACATTTAAGCTGAAACTTTACATTTCAGCTGAAACTTTAAATTTAAGCTGAAACTTTATATTTAAGCTGAAACTTTACATCTAAGCTGAAACTTTACGTTTAAGCTGAAACTTTACATTTAAGCTTAAAATTTTCATTTAAACTGCGACTTTTCGTTCATTAGTTTTGGACTCTGTAAACCAACTTTGAAACCCATATTAAGTCCGGTTTGATATTGACAAAATTACCTTACTCCATTTATGAAACCCGGTATACTATACTAGGTATCGTAACGATCGGTTATGAAGAAGTCTTGGCCCCGTGGGCCGGTTATATTCCTTTACTAGCAGTCTCAAACCCTGCGTAGTACCCCATTATTCATTGTAATGTTTAATCAAATCATATTTGATCACCCCAATAACGGTGTACTACATGTAAGCAATAACATACCAATACATGTTCACAATATCATACCAATACATGTTCTCAATACCATACCAATACATGTTCTCAATATCATACCAATATATGTTCTCAATATCATACCAATATATGTTCTCAATATCATACCAATACATGTTCACAATATCATACCAATATATGTTCACAATATCATACCAATATATGTTCACAATATCATACCAATACATGTTCTCAATATCATACCAATACATGTTCACAATATCATACCAATATATGTTCACAATATCATACCAATACATGTTCACAATATCATACCAATACATGGGTATTTCGTGAAGCTTGCCAAGCCAAATAGTGCCGGTCTATTCTATAGTCTGAGCTTGCAGTATTAAGTATGAACTTGACTGTATTCAATAACTTACATCATACTTCAAGATGTTTTTAATTTTTCATTCAACTCCTTCTTGAGATGTTGTTATTGATCCATGTTTTAACACTTAATTTACGCAATGTCATTAGTCTGAACTAATAAAGGTTTGCGTAATTATTTTCTTCTCAGAAATGAACCAAAAACTGAAATTTTTCCAGTTTTTCATCTAATCATATTATTTCATTAAAATACTATTTTACATGCTGTAACTTTGTTAATCCAGTTTGTACCAGAATATTTGAAAAAATCTAGTTTTTTGTAAACTTGGTTGATAATTTATATAATCTTATATTTTATATGCATATTATTGTGTTAATCCGGATCCGGAAGTAGGCGGAAGCCATTGTTGATTCAATGGATCCGGTTCCTAAGCACTTGGACTTTAAGCATAATATCAACTGACCCTCCATGCAAAGATCAGCCTTGTCTGATAAAGTATGAATTAGATATCCTTGTTTTTCTTGTTGAAAAATGTTTATCTTGAATGCGTCCTTTCAAATTTTTTATCAGGTTATGTTTTTTATATCGGGCATTGCCATCTTTCCATAAAGGATCACTTGAAATTAGGCTTACAGTCCCTTTAGCTTAAATTATTACTTTTTGCCAATGCATGTATTGGAAAATTATACTGCTATAGACATTACATGTAATTAATGTTTTCCTGAAATCGAAAGAAAACCCTTCTTAAATTAATTTTTCTAAGATTGAATTTAACCTAAAATAAATCTTGACTGGTTAAAAGGGTTTTTTCAGGAAAACACAAATAAACCTTTTAATCTTTTCTATAGTGATAACTATCATTTGTCTCTAAAACATATAATTTCACATTACATTTTTTTCAGAAAATAAATATGGACGGAGATATCATGGCTTAATCAGATTCTTGGGTCCTATTTGATGTCCAGTATTAAGTATTTTGTCGCATTTTAAATTAAAAAAGTAGATGTACTTTGAACCAGTGTTTTAAAGCAGGGACTGAAGTAGTAGATTCAAGGAGGTTTCCATATACAGGGGGCCATGTCAGATTTACTACTGGAACCTTCTACACTTTATCTCTCATGATAATAAATATTGAAGATATCGTCGTTTTTCCAGCTTGAACAAGAAACCACAATTGAAAAGACAAAGTGTTGTCCCACTATACAAGGGTCCCTGAAAATTGCGTCTATATTCCTTTTTAAGAGATTGTTTACCTGTTAAAAAATGTAAAATATACTCTCATTAAAGGAATTTACCATATTAAAGATGTTTTTGGTCTCAAAACTTACTTTAATAATTTCTGTGAAATGTTCATAATCAAATGTTTTAAAACATTTTACAATGAATTTAGCGCTTTCTTAAAAATTGGATTTACGAAAAAGATAAAATAAATACCGTTCATCAATATATAAAATGGATTTAGGAAAAAGATAAAATAAATACCGCTCATAAATATATAAAATGGATTTACGAAAAAGATAAAATAAATACCACTCATCAATATATAAAATGGATTTAGGAAAAAGATAAAATAAATACCGCTCATCAATATATAAAATGGGTTTACGAAAAAGATAAAATTAATACCGCTCATCAATATATAAAATGGGTTTACGAAAAAGATAAAAATAAATACCACTCATCAATATATAAAATGGATCAGTGGCGTACGAGGGGGGGCCGCCCCCCCCCCTTAATATTACATCTGCTTGCCTTTCCTTTCCTCAGGCTAGGCAATATACATTCTACATTGCATTGCAGTCCCAAACTAAAAGATTAAGAAACGAAATAAATTATTTGACCATAACCTTATTATGAGTAAATTGAAGACGACAACTTTCTCAATTATGTAATTACTTGTGCCATTTGAGCTGTATTGTGCACTAGACGCCACAGTTACAGAAACTGTAAATCTGAGGTTATGGTGTAGGTGTACTCAGCCTGGCCTGCTGTTCAATGCAGTTGAGTCAGTGTCTGTCAGTGGATTAAATATCTTTAATACTTTGTAAAATGTAAAAAAGTGTTCATCTCAGACGATAAATATTTATTAATGTTATTTTAGGAGCCAGAAACTATTTGTTAAGTTACTTTGCAACAGCAGATCAATAATTATTCAGGATCCACACATAAATGGTTGATTTGATCTTGAAGATATAATTCTAAGAGAGCTGAGAGGGGGCTACATGCCCTCCCTCCCCTTATTGAAAAAATTAAAAATTAGTTTACCTGAACAGAGTTAAAAAAGGTATCAATATTTTTTTCAAAAATGGGGTTTTAAAGGGGGGGGGGCACAATGTCGCCCCCCGAGGGCGTAAAAAGTGCCCCCCTACACAAATGCTCTCGTACGCCCCGAACTGGATTTACGTAAAATAAATATCGTTCATCAATATATAAAATGAATTTACGAAAAAGATAAATAACGTTCATCAATATATAAAATGGATTTACAAAAAAGATAAAATAAATATCGTTCTTCAATATCTAAAATGGATTTACGAAAAAGATAAAATAAATATTGTTCTTCAATATATAAAATGGATTTACGAAAAAGATAAAATAGATACCACTCATCAATATATAAAAGGGATTTACAAAAAAGATAAAATAAATATCGTTCTTCAATATATAAAATGGATTTACGAAAAAGATAAGATAAATACTGTTCATAAATATCTAAAATGGATTTACGAAAAAGATGAAATAAATACCGTTCATCAATATATTCAATGGATTTACGTAAAAGATAAAATAAATACCGTTCATCATTATTTAAAATGGATTTATGAAAAATATGAAATAAATACTGTTCATCAATATATAAAATAGATTTACGAATAAGATAAGATAAATACCGGTCATCAATATAAAAACTGAACTTACGAAAAAGATAAAATAAATACCGTTCATCAATATATAAAATGGAACTACATTACATCGAAATAAAAAAAGTATCAAGTTTAACTTATCTCTGAAAACGGATTGAATTCTATTTCGTTTTAATTTACAAGAAAAAATTGTTTACTTATCTCTGAAAATGAATCTAATTCCATTTCATTTAAATTTACAAGACAAATTGTTGATCATTAGTTTAGAACTTTTTCACTTAAAGATCGTTTTTTCCCTAGATTTTAAATCTTTCTTTAAAAAATAATTACGACCCGGCTTGTCATGGCCGCAGCAAACGTGGTTTCCTTGTAATATCTTATAAATTTTAGTGAAAAATAAAAACTTGACGTTTAACTGTCAATTAATATTTTTTTATGTTTTCTTCTTAAAAGTTAATTTGGTTTTTACAATTAAACTGACAGAGTGGGAGGTAAAATATGTAAATAAAAAAATATTTCAGAAAAATATGTCCGGATATCCTGGTGCCCCTCCTTCCGCTTACCCAGGAGCCCCTGGCGCTCCCCCTGCAGGTTATCCTGGTGCCCCTGGAGGAGGTTATCCTGGAGCCCCAGGGGGTGGCTATCCTGGAGCCTCTGGTGGAGGCTACCCCGGAGCCCCTGGTGCCCCTGGGGGAGGCTACCCCGGAGCCCCTGGTGCCCCTGGGGGAGGCTACCCTGGAGCCCCTGGTGGAGGTTACCCCGGAGCCTCTGGTGCCCCTGGGGGTGGTTACCCTGGTGGAGGTTACCAAGGCGGGGAATTTCAATCAGCCCCACAGGTTGATCCCCAGGTAACAGTTAAGCTTATTCTTAATTTTTTGACGACGGAATTGGTTGAAAAAATGTTGTTGAAAAATTGTATTTTGAAACAAGGGAAATGACTTAAAATGTTTTAGGGCTCTCTTAAGTTTCCTTTCTCCGGCACTGGATATGTAAACTTTAAAAAATCTTTTAAAGTTTATTTTAGGTTCAGCAGTGGTTTAATGCTGTGGATACAGATCGGAGCGGACAGATTGATGCGCAGGTTTATATATAGACCACTTTATAAAAAGCTCGTCAGACGTACAGCCTCATTTTTATACTTTCTTTACCATGCATTAAATATCAGAAATCAATTATGTGGAAGATAACGTCGTTCTTTTTAAAAATTTGTTTAATTTTGATAATTCTTTTATTGTTTTCTGCAGTAGAATTTCACAAGTCACTTTCGTAGAGAATCCACAATTGAAAATAGTCAGTTTTTAAGATAGTAAACATGGTTATCTCCTCCACCCTTATTTAAAAAAGCTTTTAATGGTACCGTTGTGAATTGGCCCACTCTATAAATAAAGTGTATGTGTGGGGGGGGGGCTTACTTTAAAGAATTCTTCTATTTCTTGAACTTTCTTCACAAAGTAGTTCTTCGGTCTTTTTAATGAGTATTTTCTAAAGGAGCTGCAAAGAGCATTGGTAAATGGAAACTGGAGTAAGTTCAGCATGGAAGCCTGCCGTATGATGATAGGTTTGAATATTTTTTATTTAATGTTGCTTCTGTTTGTAGCAAAAATCTTAGGTTGTATCATTGCTATATCTCTAAGACATTTTTCTTAATACTAACTCTGTTAAATTTTGAAGATTTTCTCGTTTTGATTTGGTGAATTCTCCAATTTTGAATTTTTTGGATAGTTATACAGAGTACACGTATGTCCCTTTGGTTCATTTGAGATCTAATCAAATAAAAGGAGCCCCAGATCGTAATGACGTATATCTTGCTTAAATATTATGATTAACATAATTATTGTTAAGATATGTTTGATAATGATAAAACTGGGCAAATTAGCGTTCAAGAGTTTGGTTCCCTTTACTCATTCATTAATCAGTGGAAGGTTAGTTCAAGGCTCGTTCATTAATCAGTGGAAGGTTAGTTCAATACTCATTTATTAATCAGTGGAAGGTTAGTACAATACTCATTCATTAATCAGTGGAAGGTTAGTTCAATGTACTCATTTATTAATCAGTGGAAGGTTAGTTCAATACTCAGGGGGGGGGCTTACTTTAAAGAATTCTTCTATTTCTTGAACTTTCTTCACAAAGTAGTTCTTCGGTCTTTTTAATGAGTATTTTCTAAAGGAGCTGCAAAGAGCATTGGTAAATGGAAACTGGAGTAAGTTCAGCATGGAAGCCTGCCGTATGATGATAGGTTTGAATATTTTTTATTTAATGTTGCTTCTGTTTGTAGCAAAAATCTTAGGTTGTATCATTGCTATATCTCTAAGACATTTTTCTTAATACTAACTCTGTTAAATTTTGAAGATTTTCTCGTTTTGATTTGGTGAATTCTCCAATTTTGAATTTTTTGGATAGTTATACAGAGTACACGTATGTCCCTTTGGTTCATTTGAGATCTAATCAAATAAAAGGAGCCCCAGATCGTAATGACGTATATCTTGCTTAAATATTATGATTAACATAATTATTGTTAAGATATGTTTGATAATGATAAAACTGGGCAAATTAGCGTTCAAGAGTTTGGTTCCCTTTACTCATTCATTAATCAGTGGAAGGTTAGTTCAAGACTCATTCATTAATCAGTGGAAGGTTAGTTCAATACTCATTTATTAATCAGTGGAAGGTTAGTTTAATACTCATTTATTAATCAGTGGAAGGTTAGTTCAATACTCCTTTATTAATCAGTGGAAGTTTAGTTCAATACTCATTTATTAATCAGTGGAAAGTTAGTTTAATGTACTCATTTATTAATCAGTGGAAGGTTAGTTCAATACTCATTCATTAATCAGTGGAAGGTTAGTTCAATGTACTCATTTATTAATCAGTGGAAGGTTAGTTCAATACTCGTTCATTAATCAGTGGAAGGTTAGTTCATTTAATTTTAATTCAACGAAAAGCATTTTTTAGGCAACATTTGAAGCCTTGGACGCTGACAAATCTGGAGTAATCGACGCCGGAGAGTTTACTCAGGTATATACTATATTTAGCTTTAATGTCTCTAATGTCGTCTTCTTATTCTACAGTATTCTGGTTATCACTGTATGATCTAGCATCCTGAGCAGCATAATATAAAAGGGTCCTTTATTTATGTACTGGTATTCCTACGGTAACTTTAAAACTTTGTCTGATTAAGTTTGAATTAGATATTCATGTTTACAATTCGGATTTTTAAATTGTATTTCTTTACAAAAGTGACCTGCGAGTTCTACTGCAGGAAAACAACGTAGAAATTATCAGAATTAAAAACTTCAAGCTAGAAAAAGGTTATTTTTCATATTATTGATCAGATAAATGTTTCAAGGGTATTTGAATAGAGTGTCGTTTATAATTACGGCAATAGTTTCTATAATAGTTTGATAACCTTTGTGCAAACTCAATACTTCAATTTTTTCAATAATTATTTATTAATAATAGTTAATGTTTTATTATCATTTAATAACGATAATAGACTATCAACATATTGGGTCCTTTATTGATTCTGATCTTCATTAATGATATGCATAATCCTAATAACCTACTCAATGTTCATTTTGCTGATGATACGACAGGTCTTTGTAAAGGTAAACATGTGAATGAAATTTTTAACTAAGATTTGCAAAAAAATTGGAGTTTGGTTACGTTCCCATAAAATTTCTATAAATGCCGAGTCCAAAATTAATGAATTTGAGCCAAGTCATGATTTTTCATTCTAGAAGTAAAACTGTTGATTATAATATAAACTTTATTTTTTTAAACAATAATTTAATCTCAATCAACAATGCTGATCTATTAATAATAATAATTAATGTTTTATTATCATTTAATAACGATAATAGACTTTCAACATATTGGGTCCTTTATTCATTAATGATATGCATTAATGATATGCATTAATGATATGCATTAATGATATGTATAAGTCTAATAACCTACTCAATGTTCATTTTGCTGATGATACTACAGGTCTTTGTAAAGGTAAACATTTGAATGAAACGGTCCCTTTTGTTAACCAAGATTTGCAACAACAAAAAAATTGAGTTTGGTTACGTTCCCATAAACTTTCTATAAATGCAGAGTCCGAAATTAATGAATTTGAGCCAAGTCTCAAATTCTTTAAATTCTAAAAACTTAAGTCATGATTTTTCATTTTAGAGGTAAAACTGTTGATTATAATAAAAACTTTATATTGATAACAATAATTTAATCTCAATCAACAATGCTGATCTGATTCATCCAGTTCAGAGAAAAAAAAAAATTCTAGTCCTTGTCCTGCGTACAAATTCCTTGTTAATTTTATAGATGAAAACTTAACTTTTAAATATCTACTTTAAATAAAATCTCTAAATCATTATTTACTCTTAACAAAGTTTAGAATGTTTTGTCTTCTGTTGATGGTGTAGTTTTCGACCTACGCAAATCCACCACTTCTGTCCTACGTCAAATCCGCGATACTACACATCCGACCTACTAGCGCGTGGTTTTACAGCTGTTTCATGGACTTGTGGCCGCGGCGCTCAGCCCCCTTGCCTGTCCTTGCCGCAGCGCTCGGCCCAGAAATTGTACTAACCTAACCCTCAAATAATACAAAAATATATAGCTGGTGTAGGTCTGATATTGCAGTAGGTCGGAAAGTTAGTAGGTCAGAAGTTTAGTAGGGTGGATGTTGCGTGTAGACGATGTAACGTTACCCTTCTGTTGCTCTAAAAAAATTATACTACGCGCTAATTCATCCATATTTCCTTTATTGTCTGCCTGTGATTAGCTGTACTAGTCTAAAAAATATTAACATGTTAGCTCTCACTCTCAAACAAAAGCGGTGTATTCGTATTAATTCAAAAAGCTAGTTTTAATGCTCATATTTCATAAAAAAATATTATGAAATATCAACTATATTTGATTTGATTTGATTTGATTTGATTTGATTTGATTTGATTTGATTTGATTTGATTTGATTTGATTTGATTTGATTTGATTTGATTTGATTTGATTTGATTTGATTTGATTTGATTTGATTTGATTTGATTTGATTTGATTTGATTTGATTTGATTTGATTTGATTTGATTTGATTTGATTTGATTTTATTTGATTTGATTTGATTTGATTTGATTTGAATCATAACATCAAGGACCAAGGATACTGATTTAGTCTCACTTTCCTAAATGATATTCTCATCTTTTTTAGTGCCTTGTTTTTATCTTTAAAAAAAATGACTTATATCAAATACCTTCCTTTCCTCTTCGGTCAAAAGAAAAATTGTATTTGAATTTTATCATTTTTAGTCAAACAATAATTAATTGTTTTACCTGCAAACGGTAAAAAGGGTGCTGGTGTGAATCGGGCATGGAACTCTTTAAACTTATGTCAATTAAAGGGAGTGACCGGCAATGTATGGCGGTTGAATTGAATATGTAGTATTGTGGACAAATTTTTTAGGATTCATTTGAGACATATAAAACATTTCAACGACGTTTATTTACTGAGTTTTAGCGCAAAGTCGACGTTCAAAATCATGAATTTGGGTGGGTACATTTTCAGTATAGTTATTTTGTAATTATAGAATAACGATGACAAAAAATGTAAACTAAATACTTCAGTTAATTAATTAGTTGTTTAGGAACAGGTTGAAAAAAAAAATTAACATTTATCATCAAAAATTAGTAATCTTATTTAATTATTAGTTTCTATAATCTGTCTATATTCATAAAGATTTTCTGCAGATTTTCTGGAATTTTTGTTTAAAAGACGACTTCAAAGAATTTATAGAAATCTGCGAACAAATTCAAAGAAAATTAGAAATTCAATAAAATAATTGATTCCATTGATGTATTGACAATTTTCTTTTGAGAATATGTCCCCAAACATCTAATAAGTTTACTGTATAATTTTTACTTTATTTTTTGTTGTCGTTATTTAATAATTTAAAAAAGCGGTTCTGAACACATGATTTTGAACGTCGTCTTTGCACTCAAACTCAGTAATCATCATTGGGGAAACGTTATATATGTCTCAAATGAACCTATAAAGATTTTCTACAATACTGCATATTTAGTTCAAACACCATACATTGCCGGTCACTCTCTTTAAAATAAGGTTAACAGTCCCTTTAATAATAATATGATCTAGGCACTGGAGCAGATGGGATACAGGTTCAGTCCCACTTTCATCAACAATATTCTCATCAAGTATAATCCTAAGGAGCGCCGACTCACTCTGGATAACTTTATTGTGGCCACTGTTCAGGTAAAATATTTTAGAAAGTGAGCAGGTCGCAGGTTTCCACAATCTGGGAGCTTTTGTGTTGGATGCTCTTTATCCCGATCACTTGATCTCGATATCCATGGTAGACACATTTGATGATCAATGTTTAATCTCTTCATTTCATGCTGGATATTGAATAAAGATTAATAATTTAATCCTTAGATAAACATAAAGAGGAGATCAAGTATTGATCTTAATATCCCAACTCTGGCAGCATACATAACTCGTACCATTGACTAATTAGAATTATTTTCATTTTCAAAAGTATTTTTTACTTCAAAACTATTACTATCTGTTTCAAGCATGATCATTTAAATAATTTCTTCTGTTATAAAGTTGTTATGTATTATGCTTTCTATATTATAAAAATATAATTAAAGTTGTTCCATTAGATCAAGAGGTTAACTGATTCCTTCAGGGCACGAGACACGCAGATGCAAGGACAGGTAAAGTTTGAAATAATTTAGGGATTTGTAATACAATTTAAAAAGAGGTGGGGGAGGGGGGGGGCATCATCAAAATTGGACATTTCTAAAGTTGTTAGTTATTTATTCAACTAGCCAATAATTATATTTTTTTGGTAAAATGTCTTTAACCCTTCCGCAGCAAAAGCACAATATTGACTTCATTTTAAAGAGCTTGTCAAATGAAATTGGTAAGAGCAGTGCTCAGGATCTGGTTCCGGATCTGTTGGATCCGCATTATTTTGGCAACCTAAAGTCGAATCCGCAAAAAAGTGGATCCAAGGGGCAAAATAGCAACCAAAAATTACAAACAAAAATATTTTGCTCTCAAAAGCCAATTCTGAACTGTCGAAAGAAAAAAAAACAGAGTTATCAAAAATTTCCTTATCTCCGAATGTTTCATATCTTGTTTTCTAGTGCGGATCCAAGTTCTGGATTCACATCAAGATTAAATGGATCCTAAGTACTGGCAAAAACATTTGTCCTTATATGAATCTTACCGAATTATACTCAAATATTATCACTGCAAGTATTTCCCATGGTATTCAGTATTTCCATGTATCCCGTATCCAGTATTTCCCATGGTATTTTGTATTCAGTATTTCTATGTATCCCGTATCAAGTATTTCCCATGGTATTCAGTTTTCAGAATTCCCATGTATTCCGTATCCAGTATTTCCCATGGTATTCAGTTTTCAGTATTCCCATGTATCCCGTATCCAGTATCCATATTTCATATTCCAGTCACCTGCAAGTCTTTGCATCCAAATATTTCCCCTGTTCAAAATATTATAATAATTTTTTTTTGTAATAAAATGAAAAAATATTTTTAGGCCACTTTGGTCTATGAGGACTTTGTTGGACTGGCTATGGGAGCTCACAAGTAGTTTGCAGGCTTCATGATTTTTGTATTATTCATGAATCTCAAAAAAAAATCATAAGCTTTATATCTATGCTTAATGCTTATATTAATATTATCTATGGGTTGAACTCAATGTTCCCATTTGTCAATGAAATTTTTCTTTGTGCCATGAATTCTTGTTTTCAACTGGACTTCATGGTGTATATTATCAATTGCATCATCTTTACACTTTTGAAATGCGTATGTAATTAATTTATGTGTTCCATCTAAAAAAAATAATCTTTTTAAAATTTGCTGACTAATAAATTTTTAAATTCAGCCTCTATATATATTTTTCTTAAGTACTAGTATAAAATAGATTTATAAAATTACTCACATATAATAAATAATGTCTGCATCATCAGGGGTTAAGAATATCATCACTTATAATTACTAATATTTTATATTAAATGATCTATACAATATAACCAATGTAGCCAATAACCCCTGGATTTGAGTCCGGACTAATTTAAATCTGTGCGCAAACTCTTTGAAAATCTTAGGTTCCTATATAGCTATGTCAAAGATACTGTTTTCAATGGGCATTTTTTAAATTCAGACCATATTGGATAGGTCTGAAAAAGCAGGTGCCAATGGATAAAGGAATGTGGAGATCATGTCAACTCCAAATCCATTCTGTGCTGTGCATGTGAACCTAGAATTGTTAAAAATATTGGATTAGAATATTTAATGCAAGTATTAATGGGACTGAAAACTTAATATAAAGTGACCCTTGAAACCTCGTACTGTCCATCGAGTAGGGAGATATTTCTATTTTAACATATTAAAACCTGCTTGATAACTATGTAACGCAACTGTACGCTAAACTCCAACAGCTGATCAGTCACTTGCGTAAATTGAAAGTAGTTCCCAATTTTTTTTGTTATAGCATTTTCAAACATTCCAAAGTAAATTTTGAATTTTGAAGTAACTTTAGATACTTCTTAGATATATAACAGCGCGAAAACAAAGTGTTTAACAGTTAAAAGTGTTTCAGTAGATTTATAGGGATAGGACTAATCAAAGGTTTTAAGGTAATTTTTGTCTTTAAATGAACGGTCTTTGAAATAATGCTTACAGTCCTTTTAAGTTGTAAGTTTTTTTAAATGATTGCTTGGTTTCATACCTTCCCATGTGTGACCAGTCAACACCATTAATGTAAAGGTCATGACCATGAAGTGCTACAGTATCAGATTCTTTAACTTCTTTACCCATAGCATCCTTCCACACCACATTCACCTTACCAGCATCATCCTGAAAAGCGGGAAAGTTTCTTTAAAAACTTTTTGTTATCACAAATAATTTGAAATCATTCTTGTCATTGAACGGTTTTCTCATAAAAGTCAATGAAGAAGCAAAAGAAAATTTTGTTAATTTTGGTATAAGAAACTAGCAAGTTTTTCAGAAATATTCATGAGCTTGATCCGGATCCAGGATTGTGATCTTGATTTGCATTAAATGGATCCTTTGCACAATCTACTTACATTTACTGAACATGAAAGCTTGACTGAAAGCCCAGATGTAATCATGACTGTGCTGTACCAGCCAGTAATTTTAGGTGCACTTCCACCTCTGTTCCGGGGAATGCATCCAGAATGGGTGTGTCCAATTACATCAACCTGTAATTGGTTACCTAGTTTAGTTCACAAGTGATAGATAAGTAAGTAAGGAATCATTTATTTATGAAAAATAACAAAAAACAAACANTTCAGAAATCTAACCAATAGTTTCTTAAGCTGGTCAAAAAGAAGTAATGATTTGTAAAGTATTGAAACAGATTGAAAATCAAATATAAATATATATATTTTGATTTCAAAGTTGCTGTTTTGGTTTACAAGTTCAAGCTTTGTATCCCAGCGATATATCAACCGAAATTCTCTACTTTTGGTTTAGATATAGGTGTTGAATTAAAGCAATCTATTCTACCTTGGTTGAAGTAGTTGTCTGATGACCATTAGCCTCTCCACGGCACTCATAGATTCCTGCATCTTCTTCGGTAATACAGGGAAGATTTAGTCTGGCCCAGGTTTCTCCGAGACCACCAGGATTGTCCTAAAATTAAAGGAACTCAAGACCTTGCCAAGCAAAATGTATGAACATGAGAACCCATTAGAGTCATTATTAGGCAAAGCTTGCCCTGTCCTTTATAGTAAAAGTCATTCTTTTCCACCATTTCTTTATCTGGACAAAATTCAGGTTTTGACATTTCAGCTCTGTTTCTTTGTTTCGCAGTTTTTTCCATAAAATGGGATTTCAATATTTGCTAGTTACCTGGGTTCCTGCAAGATGAACACCATCCTTAAACCAAGCTACAGAAGGGGTAGGACTTCCAGCCATAGAACATGAGAGGGTTAATCCTCCAGAGTTTCTGGATTCGGATCATTAAAAATAATCTGTTGCATAGATTTGATTTAGTATCAAGTTTGGGAATTGAATACTAAAAATTTATTTACTTAAAATGTTTATTTGAAATCATAATTTTGGGTTTCTTTTACATTGTTTTATGCAACCAAATTTAATTTTTTATTTTTATGTTCCTTGCTATAACTGCTGCTGGAGGAAGCTCCTAATGAAAAATTAATTCAATTGTTGAGAATGTAAAAAAAATTTATCTAATTCAAATTTTGTATCATTGTTTATACCTTAATTCGGATAAAGTCATCCCCTGGGAACGGAGGACCGAGGCCTAAATGACAATTATTAGGCAACTTTTTAAGACACAATTTCTTACCAAGGGTATATATTTGCTTGACTTCCCCCCCCCCCAAAAAAAAAATTGTTAGTTCATTTCTTGGTAAGTTTTTGGGGGAAATGAAGCATATAAAATCTTTTCCACCCTCCCTGACCAAGAACAAAAAGTACGGAACATAACAGAACTGGGATAAAACGATTTGGAAAAGAAGGAACCATCCAGCTGAAGGCCCTCCTGGAACGAAAAGAATGAGGAACGAACAATTTTAAATAAAATATGAACACCCCCACCACTAATCATAATAGTACCCTATTCTTACCTAGAACTGTTAGAATACAAGATGAGAGGATTGTAAGAATGATATGTTTATCCATGCCAGACTCTTACCACCAGGAGTAGTCAGCTTCCTTTTATTTCACATCAGGCAGATTGCAATAATGATAATAGTTAAGTTCAATCAAACAAAAATAATGAAAACCATGCATCCAATTTTTAAGATTTATTTTGTAATAGAACAATCGATTTTGACTTTGACTTCCGAAACCATTCCATTCCTTTGTTTAAATATTAGCATCAAAACATGCTTGCTGTCTGTAACACATAAAAACAGTTAAGGAATTATATTTATTTTAAAAAAAAAAAAGTATTAAAAATATAACTTCGAATTCCTGGACAGGACAGGATAGGATGGCAGGGACTGCAATATCACTTTTTACTAGTTATGTTGCAATGAAACCAGTTTGCAGAGCTGTCATGTCATGTCATACTATTTTGAACAAAAAAGTGTAATAATTTTTTTAAAAATGTTTTTCGTTTCGTTACTGACTTTTCCAAAACTTTAACGAACCTTTGTTTCTTAATAACGAACTGTTAGTTTGGAAACGAAATAACGAACTGTTAGTTTAGAAACGAAATAACGAACTGTTAGTTTGGAAACGAAAGAACGAACTGTTAGTTTAGAAACGAAATAACAAACTATTAGTTCAGAAACAAAAAAATTAACTGTTAGTTTAGAAACGAAATAATAAACTATTAGTTTAGAAACGAAATAACAAACTGTTAGTTTAGAAACGAAATAACGAACTGTTAGTTCAGAAACGAAATAACAAACTGTTAGTTTAGAAACGAAATAATTAACTGTTAGTTTTTAAGCGAATTAATGAACTGTTAGTTTAGAAACGAAATAACAGACTGTTAGTTGAGAAAAAAAATAATTAACTGTTAGTTTAGAAACGAATGAACTGTTAGTTTAGAAACGAAATAACGAACTGTTAGTTTAGGAACGAAATAACGAACTGTTAGTTTAGATAAAAAAACGTATAACGACGATATATTAGAAAATGATCGTGTGGAAAAATGTTCCTTCTCAGTAAATTTGAGTTTTAGAACAATTTAATATTTTCCTTTAAACTAGTCAATAATTTAGGTCGGGTTTCTTTCCTTGGTCGTTTTTAATCTATTTGAAGACGACTTAGGGTAGTTTTTTATAAATGGTCGTCGTTATAATGAAGGTACAGTTGTTAATCATCATCAAAACCTTATGCAAGAAGAACAATTCAAATTAAAAAAATGCTCATTCATTTTTTAATTTAAAAAAAATAATGTTTTTTCCGTCGTTAACGAAACGATAAATAAATTTTTCAGAAAAGTGTAAACGCTTCATCCATGTTTCATCCCTACCAACAAAGAAAAAAAATTCAAACATTACTGTACAGACTTTTTATTACATTTATGGTTTGCTCAGTTTCTTTATTTGAAAATTTATTCTGTAGGCCATTTCAAGATCATACAGTAAAAACCAGAAAACTCTGAAACAGGAAGTCGACTTTTAAACTCAAGTTATGGCTTTAAATATTATAATGAACATGAGGCATATTAAATAACTTATTAATGATATAGATATTTGCTCATGGTAACAATACAAAATGCACTTCAGTATTGCTTTAATGTCGTCATCCTATTCTACCGTTTTCTGGTCATCACTGTACAGTGTACATAATGTATATGTATGTCAGATTGTACAAAAAGTATATCCTTAATTGATATAGAAATCTCAATTCTCTTCTAGAATAAAACCAAATTCTCAATTCTCTACAACTAAAAATGAATTCTCAATTTTCTGCAATAAACCGAATTTTCAATTCTCTACATTAAAACTGCAATCTCTGATGCAATTAATTGAAAATCTTTGACGGCTTCTCCTTCTATTTCTGTTTCCTGGACGGAAATAACTATTTCTTGTTGGGATCCTATTTTTAATGGGATGAAACCTCTGGACAGTTTTCAAGGTACAAAATACAACTTTAATTCTAGAGACTCACTTTTACATTGTTTCGACGATCGGAAAATCGCCAATATGAGCCCAAGAGGGTGTAACACTTTTATAGTTCGGAAAATTCGTTTTAAAGGGACAGAGCGGCTATGTAAGGTAGTTGAACTGAGTATGCAGTGTTGTGACAAATTCTTTTGGATTCATTTGAGACATATAATAATTGGAGAAAATTGTTAAAAACGAAGAATACCGAAGAACGTAGCGTCCAAATAAATTCAGAAAGTTGCAACATTCAATTTAATTCCAAACGAATTGTTCAGATATTACGAGAAATAATCATCGATAATTTTTCGAAGCATTCATATATAGCTTTGATATTTCATAATATTTTTAATTTTTTATGATCTGATAGTCACTCTTGAACAAATTTATTCCTGTTTCGAGGATTTTTGACAATGAAGACGACATTTTCATATTATCCAGGATCGAATGATCGAAAATTCAGCGTCAGCGAAATTTTATTTTTTTTTTAAATCAAAATTATTATGAAATATTTACTATATAAGAATGAGTCGAATAATAATCGATGACTATTGTTTGTAATATCTGAATGATTTGTTTTGAATTAAATTGACTTTTTTACGATCCGAGTTGAATGTTGCAACTTTCTGAATTTGTATGGACGCTACTTTCTTCAGCCAGTATAAGTCGTTTTTAACAATTTTCTCCTTATAGACGCAACATATAGAAGTAAGATTAGAAGTGATCAAAAGCTCTTATTTTTCGCCGTTAGTCTATACCCCCTTATTTTTCGCGAAAACTCCCTTTAATTCAGAATTAGAAATGAGCATCACCTCCCCGGTTTGGAACTAATGTCCCAAGAAATAAAAGAGAAAGGACAAAGCTGAGGTGATAACGTTGTTGGTGAAAGGGTGAAGGATTTTATGAGTGTCCATTGCTATGCTATGAAGACGATATTTTCCGTACATTGGAGCGCATTCAGAATATCTAACCATAATAAACACAACCTTGCACCCTGCAGCTTGAGGGGAAGCCGCGAGAAAAGGCAGATATAATTTGAAAACCTGGTTTAAAGGGATTGTAGGTTAAATTTCCATAAAAAAGGCCATATTCACCACGGTACCTAGTTACCCTTATTCTGATAAATAATGTGGAAAATAAAGTCGTTTTTCTCACTTGAAGGGGTTTAATTCCATTAAGCTGTTTCTGAAGCAATGCACAAGTCACCTTTGTATATATTAGAAACCATAAATGAAAATAATCTTGTTTTCATCAAAAATTAAACATGGATATTTAATTCATACTTGCAGATCAGACAAAGCTTTTAAGGGCACCCTAGTGAATCAGGCATGCCACTTGATCAATAAAAAAGAGGAAACAGAGAAAATTTGGTAAATTAGGGAACTTAAATCTTTTAATGACCGTGAAAAAAGCATTTAAATTTATACAATCCAATAAAATTGATCTGGGAAAACATTTACCCCCCCCTGTCCCCCTTCCTTAGTCGTTCTTAGTGATCGTTTAAACAAGCGGAAGTAAGACGGCTAATATTCTTGTTTCCGGTTTGAAGTCTTGTCTAGTTGCAATATATATACATATAAACATGCGAATATTATTATTCAAAGTTTCACCTGAATAAATATATACTGTTGTCCTGCAGTCATGAATTTAGAAACACAAGGACTGCTTGTGTACTAATTATATATATAGAGACACTAGGACTACTTGTGTACTAAAATATTTGCAACTAAAACATTTTCTAGACAAGCATCAATATAACATTGATATTCAGTTTTGCCAATACAGGGGTCCCGATAGAGTTGAGGTTTTATAAATAGTTCTTTAATCCTAAGAGCTAAAAATGAGGCTATATTACTGCTTCAATTAAAGATTGTACTCCACATTTTAAAGAATTTTTTATTTACAGCATTATTTCGTTTTTTTTCTTTAAAATGTTTGCATAAAAAATACAAAATTATAAACAATGCATAAATGAAGAAAATCAAAAAGTTTTGATTGGGCAAAATCATCCACCGAATTACAAAAAGTCGCTGAAACATTCCAGCTCTTTTATCATTCCCACAGTAATCAACGATTATACGGACCACTACAGTTTTTCCTCAAGTCAACAGTGCCTTGCATGATTTCATTTAAGAATTTTAGAAATCTATACTTTTAAGATGTTTTCACGAAACATTTGATTTTTGCCCAAGACAAACCAAAAGATGTTCTATTTTGGGGACAAATGTTGAATAAGGAATGTAGTCAATGCCCTACTCCATAAGGGTTTCTTAACCCGTATCTTTCCAGATATAGCTCAATCTCACTTTGCTATCAATGTCCAACCGGACACGGTCTCGTAAACTATCAATGCCATACCACTGGGCACGATCTTGTCAGCTATCAATGTCAGCACAGACACAAGCTCGTAATCTATCAATGCCAAACCAATGGGCACGATCTGTCAGCTTATCAATGTCGCACGGGCACAAGCTTGTATTCTATCAATGCCAAGCCAATGGGCATGATCTCGTCAGCTATCAATGTCAACACGGACAAAAGCTGGTAATCTTTCAATGCAAAACCAATGGGCACGATCCCCTCAACTCGTTCTTTAAAACAAGATATTTATTATAGGAAGGTTTCAATTAATGATGTTTGCATATACTATCTCATTCACTCCATAATGAAAGAGGAGGTAGGGGGAGGGAGGGAAGGGGTTTTGTTATCTGCCCTTATCCCTTCCAGCGCAAAGATTACTTGTATCCGGGCGTGAAAGATTTTGTATCGTTAATATTACCTGACTAAGATATACACACGTCCAGGTTTCAGGAGAAATTTCATGGTTCAAAGATTCCATTCCGAGATATATCACTCCTTATCAGTTTCTTACAGGACTCCACCCTTGCAGTTGGGAGGGGTGTTTGGAGTATTAGTGTTATGGGAGCACTTTGAAGTATTTAGAGTTATTGGAGTATTTAGTGTTATTGGAGTATTTAGTGTTATTGGAGTATTAAGTGTTATTGGAGTACTTGTTTTTACTGGAGTATTTAGTGTTATTGAAGTATTAAGTGTTATTGAAGTATTTAGTGTTATTGGATCGAGTATTTAGGGTTAATACAGCATTCAGTGTTATTGGAGTATTTAGTATTATTGGAGTATTTAGTGTTATTGGAGTATTTAGTGTTAATACAGCATTCAGTGTTATTGGAGTATTTAGTGTTATTGGAGTATTTAGTGTTATTGGAGTATTCAGTGTTATTGGAGTATTCAGTGTTAATGGGGAATTTAATGTTATTGGAGTATTTACTGTTACTGGAGTATTAAGTGTTACTGAAGTATTTATTGTCATTGGAGTATTTAGTGTTATTGGAGTATTTAGTGTTATTGGAGTATTTAGTGTTATTGGAGTATTAAGTGTTATTGGAGTATTCTGTGTTATTGGAGTATTTAGTGTTAATACAGCATTCAGTGTTATTGGAGTATTTAGTGTTATTGGAGTATTCAGTGTTATTGGGAAATTTACTGTTACTGGAGTATTTATTGTTATTGGAGTATTAAGTGTTACTGAAGTATTTACTGTTATTGGAGTATTTAGTGTTATTGGAGTATTTAGTGTTAATACAGCATTCAGTGTTATTGGAGTGTTTAGTGTTATTGAAGTATTTAATGTTAATACAGCATTCAGTGTTATTGGAGTATTTAGTGTTATGGGAGTATTTAGTGTTAATACAGCATTCAGCGTTATTGGAGTATTCAGTGTTATTGGAGTATTCAGTGTTATTGGAGTATTCAGTGTTACTGGAGTATTTATTGTTATTGGAGTATTAAGTGTTACTGAAGTATTTAGTGGTACTGGAGTATTTAGTGTTATATTGGAGTATTTAGAGTTATTGGAGTATTTAGTGTTATTGGAGTATTTATTGTTATTGGAGTATTTAGTGTTATTGGAGTATTAGTGTTACTGGAGTATTTAGTGTTATTGGAGTATTTACTGGAATATTTAGTGTTATTTAAGTATTTACTGGAGTATATACCGGAGTATTTAGTGTTACTGGAGTACTTAGGTTTCAGAGTATTGAGACAAAGATTTCCTTCAATGCTCATAATAAAATGAAATTTTTTTAGAATATCAATTTTAAAACAGATTAAAACGATTAAAGTTTTTTTCAGATGAAATATAAGTCAAATTTTGCCCGTGAGATGGTAAATGTTAAAAAAACTTCTTTAGGTAATTAACAATATGACAGGAACGTTCACAAAAAATAAAAATACTATTTTCGACACTAAATATTGCCACACTAAATATTGCCACAAAAAATGTTTTCTTAACTAAATATTTTCTAAAACAATATGTTTTCAATACAAAATGTTTCCGAAAACAAAAATAAAATTGATTTCGAATGAAACAATAAATGCCCTTTTTTTGGTCCCCCCTGTACGCTATGTGGACATAAAAGTTTTAACCTATAAGTACATCGAAAAATAATGAAAAGTGGTTTCCATAATTTTATTTCCAATCTGATTTTAATTTAATTTGAGACGCGGCTCAAATATGGTTTTCCACTTAACATGGTATTCAATGTTTCAAGATTTAAGCCGGCGCGATCAATTCAAAGCGGACTTGAGCCGATTTGAGCCGCGGTTCAAATTCATTAAATCCGGACTATGGTTTGGTTTAACCTTCCTACACCTTTTATTTACTTAATTTCGCTCTATATTAAACTATTCTTTTCGATTTTATACAACTAAAAAATATGTCTTTTTATGATTTTTAAAAGTTAAAAGTTTAAAGTATATGATATCATTAAATGAAGGATGACATAAAATAACTTAACCTTGGTGTTCAGATATAAAAATTTAGAATATTTAAAACTTTAATTACTAGAAATTACCTCCATGCTTTTTGCCAGAAAATAATAGGCGATTTGTTTACAATATTTTAAGTTAGTATTTGACCCTCCCCCCTACTTTTAATCCTAGAAATCAAACGTTACAGTTGAACCCAGAAAACTTGAATAAGATAAGAGAGACTGAAGTTTTTATTAATAATTGGAGACTACTGGAGAGTACCGGAGGGTTCTAAATAATGGAGAGAAAATTATTTCTACTGAAAAGCAGAACTTTTTAAATTTTTACCAAAATATAAATTCTACCGGCGGGTTTTTTTATTCCACTCGAGTAAATTGCATTTCAAAATGGGGTTCATTTGAGTTTTTACAAAGAGCAAATTCTACTGGAGGGTTTTTAATTCACTAGAAGGATGTTCTGTGTGTACTTTTATAGAAATTTTGCCAATTTTTCTATTTTTCAATTGGCAGATTTCCAAAAGTTAAAAAAATCTAAATTCTTTTGAGGCAAAATTTTTAATTCTGACCGACAAAAAAACCGTCCCTGGGGTCATGTGTAGAGTTACCATAGATAATTGGGACCAGATTGGTTCCGCTGTTTATTGGATAAAATCAAATATAGGGACCGCCATTTTTTTGAAATTAAGATTCGGTAAATGAATGGTAAAAACCGTTAGTTTACAAGCAGTAATAACCATTTATGAAAAAACAAAGAACAAACGGAACGTTTAGTTCTTAGCTAAGAACAGAGAAACTAAGTTTTTGCCACAAATTCAAATTTGTTAATTCCTATATCTTTGCAACCTGACGATGTTAACCTTGGATATTTAAAACTTAGTATTTGGTCTGACACAACTCTAACAATAAAAGGACTATAGTATGTAGTCAATAAAAAGGACTAATGGATAAATAATAAAAATTGCTGTAGACTATAATAGAGGACTTTATACCCTTAGTGAAAATTTAACGAAAATTGTTCTCTCCGCACCCAATATCCCTACTGTAAAGTTTTCTTTTTGAGACCTTGCAAATGCTTAAACTGCACTGTTAAATAGGAATTGTTTTCGTATATTTTTTCTTTCGGTTTCTTTAGAATTTTCGGTTCAAAAAACATTATTTACATATTTGTAAGTTCATCAATAAAATATTATTTTCTATAGATTTATTCAACTTTTCCATGAATATTGACAAACCATGCTTGTGGTGGTTTAAGGATTGGTTTTGCCTGATTAATTCTTATATTCAAACCAACAAATCTTCGAAATTATCCGCTTAGTGTGTACTGTGTAGTGTGTAAAAAACAACTGTACAAACTTCACACATGTTGTCACGTTTTCAAGATAGCTGACATGTTTGGCGTAATTAGATAATTATATACAATATTTTTGATAACATTTTTAATAATATTTCTATGCATGAAATGTCAGATTTTCATATAATTTTTTTTACAACCGCTAAGTTAAGTTTCACTTTTTTAAATAACTTTTTTGCTTTTAACCACAGAGAACTTTTCGCTTTCAACCGCTCTGGGTTTTACAATTTTGAACAACTTTTTGCTGTCCAGCGATTTCAGGATCAAATCATCAAGAAAATTTTCAAAAATATTTACCAAAATATTTACCAAAATATGAACAACAACAAGTGGTTGAACCAAATAATAATTGGAAAAAGAAAAGAGTTGTATTTTTCATTCTAACCCAAGTCTAGGCTAGATCTCATTCTCCCGCGGAGTTTTTTCTCCCAAGTAAATTTTATTGTTTTTCAGGGCAGTATGTGACGGAAATCTACTCGGATCCGGAATTGAATTATGTGGAGATATCCGGAAACCTTCGCCGGAACTTTTCAGGGTCCATCGGCTCCACAATATCGACTAGCTCCGGTTATTCGACCTTCTCTAAACAGGTTTCCCGCTCCACAAATACTTCTAGAAAACTGTCCAACCCGGCAGCTGCTACAAATAAAAAAATCTCCACATCTGTTGGGGATTTCTACTATCTCTCTAGTCAGGACAAAATTGAACCCATCAGCAAAACAATCTCCAAGTCAACTAGTGATATTCAAAATATTCAAGTCCAAGAAAATATTTATCAAAATATTCCATTCTCCAGCTATTCTGATAAGTTTCAACCAAACAATATTTCGAGAAAGAATTTGTTGAAAACTATTTCAAACCCGGAAGAGAGTAATCATCCTTCTTATAATGTTGTTCTTCCAGTAGGGCCTCTCCTTAACTCAGTCGGGAAAAATATTGTTTTTCCATCCGTTTATGGTCAAACCAGATCAAAACAAAAATCTTTTTCTGACGTTTCTCCTTATACACCTGCAGTTCACTCATATAGAAACCATTCCAAGTATCCAGCTACTCATGGAGCAAACTCAGCCACAAACCCAGCCATGTATCCAGCTACTCATGGAGCAAACTTAACCACAAACCCAGCCAGGTATCCAGCTACTCATGGAGCAAACTCAACCACAAACCCAGCCAAGTATCCAGCTACTCATGGAGCAAACTCAACCACAAACCCAGCCAAGTATCCAGCTACTCATGGAGCAAACTCAACCTCAAACCCAGCCAAGTATCCAACTACTCATGGAGAAAGCTCAACCACAAACCCTGCCAAGTATCCAGCTACTCATGGAGAAAACTCAACCACAAACCCAGCCAAGTATCCAGCTACTCATGGAGCAAACTCAACCACAAACCCAGCCAAGTATCCAACTACTCATGGAGAAAGCTCAACCACAAACCCAGCCAAGTATCCAGCTACTTATGGAGCAAACTCAACCACAAACCGAGCCAAGTATCCAGCTACTCATGGAGCAAACTCAACCACAAACCAATCCCGGACTCAAGACCGTCATATGACAAACTCATACAAAACGCCAATTCAATCCCTTCAGAAATCTGCACAACAAAACGATGTAACTCATTCTGAAGTTTCAGAAGTACTGAAAATTAAGTCTTTTTCGAAAAGTACAGGACTACTGCTTTCAAACAATTCTTCCAAGTCATCTCCAGTTCAGAAGAGAGCTTTCAGAAAGTTAACACCTGGAATAAAATCATCCAAATCCCAAACTACAGATTTCAATAGAACAAGAGTACCTGGAGATAAACCTACTCTAAGAGTACCTGGAGATAAACCTACTCTAAGAGTACCTGGAGATAAACCTACTCTAAAAGTACCTGGAGATACACCTAATCTACCTACTCTACGCTCTTTAAACGGTTCTTCTGCTGAAAATATTCCCCAAATCCAACCGGTGAGAAACACTATTCAAGTGTATAAAAGCGAACCTGCGATTAGTCTGAGCAATTGGTCGGATACATTGTATTCCAAGGATTATGGTGACAGTAAACTGAATCCAGGAGGGTTGGGTTCTACAGAAGCTCATGACCAATATCAACAAAGTGCTAAGAATGAAATTACACTAAGATCCTTGCTTGCTGAAAAAGAATACGATGAGAATATATCTCTACAGTTGGATGAGACGGATATCCGGAAACTTCAAATACTCATGGAATGTAAAAGGTAAATATAAGTTTTCACATAAAAATATATAGTTTCTCTCTTCAAAAACTAGCTAAATTACCATTTACATTAAAAAAGATTATTGTTTCATAATTACAAAGTTTTGAAATGCTAATGGCACTCTGACAGATTTATCAAAATAGGTTAAAAGTCCATTACATATATAGAATCAAAAGTATTTGTGTAATTGTACATAATAAAAAAACAATATTTACAATAAATACAATATTTAAGGTAATTACAATATCTACAATATTTACAATATTTACAATAATTACAATATTTACAATGATTACAATAGTTAAAATATTTACAACAATTACTATATTTAAAGTAATTATAATATTTACAATAATTACAATATTCCCAATAGTTACAATATTTACAATATTTACAATAATTACAATATTTACAATAATTACAATATTTACAATAATTACAATTTTTACAATATTTACAATATTTACAATATTTACAATATTTACAATATTTACATTATTTTTCCGGGTAAAGATGGGTTCCCAAGCTAGCATAATATGTAGTACACGTGTTTGGACAACCAGCGTTCCCCAGGGTACTTAGAGTTACTCCATCCGTTTACCCGCGCTTGGTCGTGAATTACGATTTTATCTATTTTCCCACTTGACTATCAAAACCAAGCTCAAAATATTTCCGTGTTTCTCCCAAGTTCCCAAGTCAAAATTTAAGTTATGATCGGATATATAAACAAACAAACAAACAAACAAACAAACAAACAAACAAACAGACAATTAGAGATTAAAACTTTACAGATAAAGTGTCCACTGTACAGGTTGGAATATGAGAATACCCTGCTCCGGCGAGAATTATATAAGCTAAGCTCTGACTCTAGGTCGGAGCAAGTTAAGGATATGCTCAACCAACTCAACCATCTCAAAGGAATGCATTCAAAAGAAAATATACTGCATGAGGCTTTTTTAAATTAAATTTCATCCATTAACAAGGATGATTGTTTCTTTTTTTGACCCCTTATTTTATAAAATACCACGGCGTTGCACAAGTAATTTAAAACTATGAAATTAGGGTTGAAAAAAATGAGAAGATCTTGGAAAATGTATTTCCATATCGTTTACAAAAAAAAGACGGAAGCTGAAAAATCACGTCTACAAAAAAAACATTTTGAAATGAGTAAATGGAAGGGGATTCACTTTTTTTTATGTTGGGGGCATTCTGTCTGGTAATTATTTCAAGTTTGATTAAATTTTAAATCTTAAAAAAAATTGAATTCATCATATCTCAGAACAGATCAACGTTCTTCACTCTTCGAGAGAAACATATATTCAAACTGTAGTCAAGGTAGTTTTGTACACACTGTAAAATAGATAAAAGCTAGGTAAAGGTAAAATTTAGGGAAATTTCTGGTACAACTTTGTCACATCGTAGCTCCTCTGTTTTGATTTTGTGCTAAAAATATATTAGAGTTGTTCTTTTCAAAAGCTCTTTTCAATAACCGGAGTTATGATTGAAAACATACAAGGTTTAAATTTTATTTCAACCGTTTATTTGATACAAACGGAAAATACCCAGTCAAGCTAAATAAAGAGACCATAGATTAATAACACTACAGATTAGGGGTTTTTAGTTCACAATAGCCCTAAGTTAAACGCAAAAAGGAGTTACGCGAACACCGCGTTGAATTACAAGACACAGAGAGACCATGCGCGTAACTCCGTTATTGTGAACGAACACCCCCTAAATCTTGAAAAGACGACCTCTAGTATTCTATGTATCTGTATTGTTATTAATCTATGATAGAGACATACTCTAGGTTTAAAAGGAACTCAAGCAAGTAACGTCTACTTTCTAATCTCTATGTTTACAGCCAGATTATGATGTAAACTTTGTTTATTTTATCAAGCAGTTTATACTTTATAGAATATCATTGGTTTTATTGAGAAAAGAGCTGTGTTGTTTTTTCATTAGTTTTTACTTTGAACGTAATATGCTGTACAAGTTACAACCAGCTGCAAACTTGAGGCCGAATTTAATGAATTTGAGCTGCGGCTTAAATTTGAGACGTGGCTCAAATATTATTAGTTCCACTTAAAATTGCATACAATGTTTCAAGATTCAAGACGGCGCTCAATTGAAACCGGTTTTTGGCGGATTTAAAACGCGGCTCAAATTCATTAAATTCAGATTCTGGGTTTATAATAAAAAACTTAAAATCTATAAATTCAATTAAAATCAATTTAATTCATTCTATTTCAGGCCGCCCATGTAATATCTCAGATTTCTCCCAACCTGTCCAAAGGAAACAATTACTCCTTTTAAAATATTTAAAAAAGAAATATGATTTTGCATTTTTCAGATTGTGAAATGTTTACATTTTTCCAGATTCAGTGAACCAAACATTTTTTTGTGATGACTAGTAAGCATCATACTGTAAACCTCAAATAAAAGTTAAATCATATTTTAAAAAGAGATCCTTTAAACAAATTTAACAACTTTGAAATACCAGAATTTTTTTATTTTTTACAATAATTCATTCTTTAGTTTAAACTTGATAAACAAGTGAATTATTGCATGAACCATTTTCTGTGATTCTTAGAAAGATGAGAGGAATGGTTGTAAATTTATATTTAAATTTTGGAGAACAAGAATGATAAGTTAATTGTAAACCAGAGGAGATCAAAAGAGCACTTAAAAAAGAAAAAGGGAAAAAAGAAAATATGAGAACTGAATTGATGAAAAAAATATTGAATGAGCTAGAAAAAATTGGCGGTAAAGAAGAAAGACCTCTAAGAGGAAAGGAAGTGTATAAAAAGAAAGGAAGAAGACAAAACACAGAAAGTAAAGAAAGATGGCGAAAGGAGGAAAACAATATTGATGAGAATAAAAAGCAAAAGAACGCAAGAAATTTAGATAAAAACAGACAACTCTCTGGTTTATTAACAAGGCAGGATATTCTCAAAAATATGTGTGGAGAGGTAACAGCTCCTTGCAGAACACCTTTTCTCAGTTCTGCAAGTACACCCATAGTGCCAGGAAGTAATACCATTCCGGAAGTGAATATTGGAGATAACATTCCTAGCTCAAGTGATACAATAGATAAAACAAAAGTGTCACGGAGTTCAGGAGGAAAGTCGTCTTCCATGAACAATATTAGTTCTGAAGAAACCGACTCTACTGAAGATTCCGGAGTTAGCTCCAATCCTTGCCAATGCTTCACCAACTTTTTCAGGTTGCTTTAAAATTCTAATTTTGCAGTTTTAATGATTAAAATACGGGTCTGTCCTATCAATTTTGTACATGGATCTCATATGTATCCCATGGATATAATTTAAAGATATTTTCTATTATTATTGGATTAGCTTAGGTTGAGTCTGGGCTGAGCGCTGCGGCTAGGTCCGGTTATGGGCAGAGCGCTGCGGCTAGGACAGGCTAGGGGGTCAGGCATTGCGGCCACATGACTAATAATAACCATGTGATACATATGAGATCATGGGGGGGATCCAAATATAGTTCTATAGGAAGTTACCTTAAATTACAATATGAATCACTTAAAGGGATGGCAGATGCAGATGTAAGATTTAGTGACATTCCATATTTAGAGTGGTCCGATTCACCCTTTAAACGTTTTTATTTAGAAAGGATTTGAATTCTAAGATTTAATTTTTTTCCCTCCACACAGGGCAATGGTTAAAATTTTATGTTTGGAAAAAGAGGGATAACTTCATCTTTTTTACTTAGCAATAGATTTAAAGTGTCGCCTGCGAATACGTTGTCAGTCCATTTTTACTAAAATGTCAAATTGACCCCCACCTATCGGTTTTTGCGATAACTCAAAAAGTTTTTGAGCCAGGAAGCTCAAATTTTCTGGCTTTTATAACTAGCACGCCCCTTACATAAGGCTAAAAGTCCACAGGCAAGACCTACTTCAAGTCATTGGATTTCAACTTTTTATAGCTCTTTGGAAACCCTGTAATTAAAACAAGCAGATTGTTCAATTTTTGCGAAGAAATTTTGCTCATATTTTTACATAGAGGCATTCAAAGGGAATTTGCACATTTTCAGTTTTTCTTGAACACACGTTTAGGTTTTAAAAATTTGCAAATGTTCTTGCACATTTGAATTGCTGGGTCAAGGGCTTTTCAAAAATGTATAATTTGTTGCAATTTGAGCATTTTTTGCAAATTTTTTGCTTAAAAACTAGATTTCGTAATCAATATTTGGATTTTTGCAAATTTGCCATTTTTTGCAGATTATTAAAGTAAAGCCCAGAAACGTATTAAATGTAATAGATTTGTATTACAATTAGAAAATAGAGGGGGGGGGGTCAATATAACCCCCCACCAGGCAGCTTTTCAGTGAACCAGACGTCAGGCTAAATAGGGTTAAATTAAGTAAGTTATTGTGTATTTGAGTAATCCTTCCGCGATCTTAGTATTTAAATGTAAAATAAAGAATAGGGCGCAATTTTAGGGATATTTCTGATGAGAGGGAGGGGGGAGGGGCTCTCGGGGTCGATACTTGCTATCCATGAATGAATATTGAATAAGAAATCTTGAGAAATCTGACCAAATGTTGATGTTGCTTCTTTAAATGATTTTCTTTATTCAAGTTAATTATGGGAATTCTATCAACAATAAATGCTGTAATACATCAATGAACAACCCTGAGAATCATGTTTAAACCACAATACAAGACAAATTTATTTTGTCAAAAAAAACTTGTAACGAAAAGTTTATAATTTGCAAGATTATCGTGATTGCCATTTTTTTCGGTAAGGAATTGAGTCTTTGCCTCAAACTCAAATTTTATAATTCCCATAAATTTTTAACTTAATGGTGTTAATCTTTCATATTTTAAGCTTAGATTCTGTGATCTAACAGAATTCAAAGTTTTAAATATATAATGTCTACTACATCAGGTTGCAAAGATATAGAAGTTACGAAATCATGGAGTTTGTGACAAAGACTTAATTCCTTTCAGAAAAAAAATGGCGCTCGCGATAATCTTACCAATAATAAATGACGGAAAATTTTTAAAACAAAATACTCTTTATTTTATTCTGTTTTCTCTAAAATAATCATGAAAAATAGATAAATTTAGATTTTTATAATTGATAATAAGTAATAAGTATAAATAATGTTATCTATATAATCTAGAATACTGTGTAGTAGATCTCCTGGGTACTCTAGGAGATATATCTCTAATAAGTATAATTAATGTTATCTATATAACTAGAATACTGTGTAGTAGATCTCCTGGGTACTCTAGGAGATATATCTCTAATAAAGCCACTGTCATATCTAAGGAGTAAGTTAGGAATAAAATAGTTTTATTTTATTTTTTTGTTTAAATTTTTTGAAAAACTTCACAAAGGAATTGACTCATTGAGACTTTGCCACCAACTTTGATTTTCCAATCCCTTTATATTCTCATAGACCAAATAATCTAAGTTTGAAATTTTAAAGGTTTACACCATCAGGTAGCAAAGATTTGAGTTTGTGACAAAGACTCAATACCTTTAATCAAAAGATGTATTCCTTTGTCTGTATGGTTTTTGAGTTGATGCCGATGGTTTAACTATTTATTTACTATTAGCAAGAATTTACCATGGGAGAACTGCCAACTTTTTTGATGATATTTTATTACGAGCGTAAGGAAGGGATGAAAAATCATTTCTTTAATGATCATCACGAGCACGCGTAAGGAAGGGATGAAATATCATCAAAAAAGTCGAGAAAACACGAGAAAAGGTCAATTGTCCATGCAGATGCTACATTAATCTTGTAAATACACAAATTTGAAATTTGAAATTCATCACTTTCTCGCCCTTGGGCAAAAACGTGAAGATTCGGGATGAGCAAGGTTGATAATGTTGCTCAGAATGGGATAAAAGATATTTGTTTTTAATCATGGTAATTTCAATATTTTTAATCAAAACTGATGTAGAGAATCTTAACCTAATATTTTGACCCATGAAATCTTCCAGATATAAACTGTCATTAAGTATACATCATTGAGTGTCAAAGACGTACGGGGGTTAGAAAATTAGATCTTGAGGTTAGTGTTCAATTTCTGTACTGGCTTTTCTTAAATCCAAATGCCACAAATCCAAATTTTCTAATCCCAATATCTTTGCAACATGATTTTTCCAACTTAGATTGTTTAACCTAACAGAACACATAGTTTAAAATATCTCTAATTAGCAAAGGTCTACAACATTGGTTACACAGATATAAAAATTAGAAAATCAGAGTTTGTGGCAAAGACTTATAATTTCTTTCCCCTTAAGATTCTTATTTTTACTCCTAAACTGCCTCCAGCAAAACCATGTCTGGAGGATGCAGCACCAGCAGCTCCAGGAGAAAATATAACTCTACTGGAACCATCTCAGCTGCAAGCTTAGAACTTACCCTGGATAACAGGTAAATTTAAGTATTATTATTTTATAGTTGGAGAGTCCGGCATTGTTTAGGTTTATACTATTATTAATAGTCATAGTTACCTCCAGTCGTTTACCCGCTCTTGGCATTAAATCGTGATTTTGGCCGAAGAGCAGAGCGTTGCCCATAAAATTTCAAAGATTTTTACAATTTACAACTTAACACAACCCTTTTGTGATTTGAATATTTTTGTCGAATAAAGATTGGTGGGGGGGGGTGTTTTCCAACCCCCCACCCCCATGATTTTGCCCTTAGAGTTGAAATAGGGGAGTGTGATACATGTCTCTAGTCCAACTTTTTATGGCCAGCTCATTTAAAAAATAGAACTCTAACTTTCATGGTTAGGATCCAAAGAAGGCTTTTAAAAAAGTTCAAAAAGTACTCTCAGAAAAAAAATTGAAAAATGTTTATTTTGCTTTTAACAAATATTAACATGTGACACATGTTTTCACATTCATTTGAAAACAACTTTTCAAATAAATTATTTTTAGGTTATTTTTTGGAAAAGTTATTTATTGTTCTTGATTTTTTAAAGTTTGTTCACAACTAGATTATCTATTTTCTATTTTACTAATCTAAAGGTTATGTTTGTTTAGCCTATACCGAAGCGAGGGCTCGCTTGGCTCGCGAGTCTGGGATTGGATCAGAATTTCGAGAACGTTCTTAGTCAGAGAAAGGAATTAAATCATTGAAATTATAAATAAGAAACCAACCTCTTTTCCTTTTTTTATCTTCTAAACAATTAGCTCCTGTATCAAGATTGTATTTTTAAAAAAAAAGCGAATTTATCCAAAGTTAGTCAATCCATGTATATTTATAAAAGGCGAAATATTCTCGATTTTCACTTTATTTGCAAATATTGTCATAATTTGTTATTTCTGATAATTCCTATATGTTTACCTGCAGCAGAAATGCGCAAGTTACTTTGTAGAGAATCCAAAAAACTATTTCATGAAATTCTTGTGTACTGGTCTTTCTCGATATAATAATCTTTTTAACAATAAAGAAATAAAAAATTGTTAATTTCAATTTTTTTAAAATTCAAATTTATTGCTTCGTCCATTAACATTATAATATACAGCTGATGTACAGCTAATTTAACATTATAGCACGTTGATTACTTATAGATCGTTGATTACTGTATAGCACGTTGATTACTTTATAGCATGATGATTAATTTAAAACACGTTGATTACTTTATAGCATGTTGATTACTTTTTAACACGTTGATTACTTTATAGCACGTTGAAAACTTATAGCACGTTGATTACTTTATAGCACGTTGATTACTTATAGCACGTTGATTACTTTATAGCACGTTGATTACTTAAGGACGTTGATTACTTTATAGAACGTTGATTACTTTATAGCACGTTGATTAATTTTCAGCACGTTGATTACTTTATAGCACATTGATTACTTTATAGCACGTTGATTACTTTATAGCTTATGTCTATTTACCATGAAGTGAGCATGAGTAATAATGTACACAATAGTTTCATAAAATCATTTATCTTTTAATTGGGAAGAGGTCTTATTTGTTTTATTTACATTTAAAGACAGTGTTTGCGAAAATACCCCTTTTAGGCTAACGTCGGAAAATATTCGATGGTGATTGCTACTAATCTTACTTTTATCTGTTGCGTCTATAAGTAGAAAATGGTTAAACACGACTTATACTGAAGAACGTAGCGTTCATACAAATTCACAAAGTTGTATTTAACCATTTTCTACTTATAAGACGTAACAATAGAAGTAAGAAGCAATCACCATCGTATATTTTTGACGTTATAGCCTACACCCTCCTTCATTTTTCGCGAACACTCCCTTTAAACAAATTTTTCGTTCCAAAATTTTTTTTTTACATTTAAAACATTTTTTCAACCCAAAATCTACATTAATGAAAGGGACTCTGTTAACTTCATTTTGACTCTCTAGTTAAGATGTGACATGTCCAATTTACAACGGTACCCTTTAAAATAAGGAATTAATCGTCGTTTGACTCTCTTTAGCAGTGTTGATTTCCGGAAATTTATTATTTATTATGATAATTATTCTGCGAATACACCATGCAGGAATTTTTCAACACTACCCTTTTTGAAAATTGTAAAAAATTTTAATTTTATAATCTCTAAATCTTTGCAATCCAATGTCTTAGACCTTAGAAATTTCAAACAATGAAATCTGTTCGATCAAATAATTTAAATTTGAAATATAACAGATTTAAAAAATCAGGTTTTAAAGATATAGGGATATATAAAACATTTTAATTTTCTTCAAAGATTCAACTCCTCTTGGTTAAAAAAGTAGAAAATATATATACCGAATGATAAATTGACCAGAAGTTACAGTGTGGAGGATATGGAGAATAGATGGAAACAAGAAGAGAAACAAAGGAATATATTTAATTAATCAACCAATCAACAATTCATCAATCAATCAATTTATCTATTAATCAACCAATCAATCACGTTTTCAAATAAATAATCAATAAATCAGTTTATCAATGATTATTAATTATATAGCTAGACTAAACAATTATCTTCACAATTAGTAATCTGTAATTACAATTAACTATTGATTAATAATCAGCCTAAAACTCAATTAAACATTTAAGTAATTTAAAAGAAATTTGATGGCAAATTAATTAATTAGACAATTGAGTAATTAAATCAGATAATCGATGAAGAAGCAAGTGAGAAGATAATTTGATTAGCTAACTATAATGTATCGTACAATTGAGAAATCAAACCAACTAATGTTTTGGTTAATTAATTGTTTAATTAAAAACCTGATAAATTCCCATTAAAAGATGTTTTTTAAGTTACAAATAAGACAATCATTTAATATACAGGATTACTCACAAAGAAGGAGACTTCGAAGACGACTTTACGGAAATTTTTCTTTCTGTTTCTTAATATTCATGATTTCCTGAGACTGCAAAATTGTTTCTTTCTTGGGCCTTGGCCAAATCGTGTTATAAACCATTTAAAAGCTATATTTAAGGCCGAATACCTAACTTAACCTTAGGATTGTCATTTTTATGAGTTTTAAGTCTTCATTGCACTCTGACCCTTAGTAGCTAACCTTAAATAGATTCTAGTACAATAGTACGTAGAGTTTGTACACTCTCAGTACATCTGTATTCTGACGTCACAAGTGTCAATTCAGTTTTTGTGTCCGACAAAATTATTAATTATAGTGATTTAGAATAAAGTGCTTATCTTACAGAAAAATAAATTCAATTTTATGTGTTCTTTATTTTTTGTTTTTACACCTTTTTATTTAATTTTGGAAAACATGTCAACTAATGTGAGAAAATTTCGTTTTTCTTGTTATATTTGACACTTGTGACGTCGTGTATAATTGGTCAATTTCTCTGTTGCCACCGATTGTACTTAATAATCTTTTTGAGTAACCCTAAATAAATATTTTTTTAAACTTTAGAACAACTAAAAATTGTTTGACAAAATATGTATTTTGTTCTTCTTGTTTGAATGAATATTATGATGAAAGTAGAAGATTAAGAAGGTTCCCAAAAGAAGAAGAAGAAGAAGAAGAAAAAGCAGAAGGAGAAGAACTAGAAGATAGTTTAGGCCAAGAAAGAGAAAGATCAGAAGAAAGAAAACGAGAAGGCATAGATAATCTAGAAGCAAGATTGAATACAGAAGATAAAATAGAAAATAAGAAAACAGAAGAAAGAAGGAAAGAATCTGGAAAGAAAAGAAAAGATAAAGATAATGTTGTGGATAACATAAGAAACACAGAATATCAAGATGAAACAGAAATAGATGAAATTAAAGAAGAAGATGGAAGAGAAAAGGAAGAAAGGCTGAAGAAAGAAGAAGATTTGGTTTGGAGAAAATCATTTAACATTTTCCAAACTGATCCTATATCTAGTATCTGGGTATTTAAATAAACTGTGATAAGGGTTTCCTGCAAAATGGGAAAATCGGTTCGCGAAAATTTCGCATTTTTTGCATTCCATTTATAGAGAAAAACGCGAAAAATGTTGCTATTTTTACGAATTTTCGCGTAAATCTGTATAGCAAAAAAATATTTTAAGAAAAAAAGCGAAAATTTTGCACTTTTTGTGTTGCGAAAATTTGCCTCTTTTCGATAAATTATCGCATATTTTCTTTCCACAAAAATTCGCATCGCCTTCGCTTTCTTTTGCAAATTTTTTATCTCGCAAAATCTCGAAAGTTTTCGTTCGCGGAAACCATAACTGTGATTAAAACTGTCAAAATGAAGCAAGATAATTAAAATTCTTATATTTGAAAAGTATAGTTTTACAATAGTAATAATAATAAAATTGATTTAGAGAAAATTTTTTGTGTATTATGATGGTGTCTAAATGTTTTGCCCTGATTTTTTAAGAAATATGAAAACATTGAAACACCATTTATTTTCACCTTTAACTTATTAACTTTATCTCTTTTAGCTTTCCGGAAACTTATCTTTCATTTTTCAAAACCTTATGAAACGTAAAACGTAACAAAAATTAAAAACTTAACAAACGCTCATTTGCTTAAATCTCATGAAGGAGTTGACCATGAAGTTGACCATGGAGTTGACCATGGAGGTGAATATGGAGTTGGCCATGGAGGTGACCATGGAGTTGACCATGGAGGTGACCATGGAGTTGACCATAGAGTTGACCATGGAGTTGACCATGGAGTTGACCACGGAGGTGACCTTGGAGTTAACAATGTAGTTGACGATGTGAGTTAAGTTAGTTCAATGCAAAAAATATTTTTTATTTTATATTGAGACTACTTTAACCTTTTCTTCCTGTTTAGTATTAATCTGCCAGTTTTCTATTATTTTCCCTAATCCCTTAAAAGTTTTGTTACATCAATAACCTATCAATAGTGTCCTGGGATTCCCACTTGACTGGGTCTTCAGTGTCTAACCGACCATGCAATCATTAATACAGTGGTATCTAGAAAACTGTGCAGTGATTGTTGACTTCTTTCTTTCTTTTGATATTGAAAATAAATTGATTCTAAAAATGTGCATTATACATATCTAGAAAATATATCAGTTCTTACGGAATTCTTGGAGACATTTTTTATTGAAAAGAAAGAACGAACACGACAATCATCTCTCATTTTCATGTTTACAAACACAAAGGTTTATTCACTTTATAGAGCGCAAAAGATATTTGAAATCTTCATTAAAGTTCTCAGACATGCATTTTAAAACCAGAATTCGGTGAATTTGCATGTTTAAAGACAAGGAATGAAACCCACGGTAGAGAAGAGGAAAACAATATTCAAGCAATCTTGATTATCTGAGGCGTTTATAAAGCAAACAATTTTACGAGATGCTTAAAACCCAATTTATCATGTGAAATGGTTTTGTGTCAACCGAGCAATTACGGTATTTTATGGTCTTCAAAATATATTTTTAGACAAAATTTGAGCCTAACAGTCGTCTTTAAGTTTCACAGTTCAATGGTGAAGAAAAGGGTTGCAAATAAATACCACATACATTTTATACAGGGTGTCATTACAGTTGATAAATAGTTTTGAATGTCGTCTTCCATAAATTGCATTAGATATTGAAGGCTGTTTGCATTTTCTTTCGTTAAAAAATCTTTTGCTCAAATATATTTTACTTTGAAATTAATTTTACTATAATATATGACTCCTGTATAATATTTTTATTTTTGTCTTTGGTATTAAACAACTTCGCAAATTGTGGAAGAAAACATTCATATCATGTTTCGTGGGACACCCTGCAGGTTATTTTCCTTAACATTTTTATCTTTATCTATCTATCTATCTCACCTAAAATCAGAAATGAAGATTTCCAATACAGAGCTCTGATGTCATCAATATCCGATACTCAAAACTGAGAAAAACACATTTTTGAACAATAAAAAAATAGATTAAAATCAAAATAATTCGAGTTTTGATCATTATTAATGCAGCTTTTTAAAAACAAATAACAGTTTTTTCCAGGGAAAATTGTTTAATTTTGACCGTCAATATATCCTGAAGATTGATAACTTAATATATATATTCAAGCTAAAATCGTTCATAATTTTGTCAACAACTTCTTAAAAAGAAAAGCTAAAAACAAGTGCTTTACATTTTTAAAATGTACATGTTTAGGGCTACAAAAAAGTGTAATTCAGCTAGAGGTAAAACCAAAGGTCAAGGCGGTAAGACACTTTAAAATAGACCCAGTCCTAAAAATGGATGAAACTTTTCATAGCAGTCTGAATCTATGTGAATAATTATTATGAAGATTGCTATCATTTCCTGTTTTTATCTAACTTTTCTATTTTCAATACCTTGGAACTTTCATGGTTTATCTGTCCTTTTTAAATATTTGGACCCCCCCCCCCTTCCCTTGGCAGCCTTGCGTGACTTTGTATTTATCTCAACCTTACCCTGATCTGAGCTTGGCATTGTTGAATTGTTGATATCAAGATATGGCATTGATCACGATCTTTTGTTAATTTACACATTCATTTAATTTCTATTTGATATCCTGGGTAATGTTACAACGTCTTTACGAAATATCCCCCCCGTAAACTTCTGAACTACTAACTTTCTGACCTACTGCAATATCGGACCTACGCCAACTGTTGATTTTTGTATTATTTGAGGGCTAGGTTAGGTTAAGACAATTTCTGGGCCGAGCGCTGCGGCTAGGACAGGCTAGGGGCCCGAGCGCCGCGGCTAGGACAGGCTAGGGGGCCAGGTGCTACGGCTACAAGTCCATCAGCAGCTGTAAAACCACGTGCTAGTAGGTCGGATGTGTAGTATAGCGGATTTGACGTAGGTCAGAAGTGGAGTATAGCGGTTTTGCATAGGTTTAAAGATACACGTACCATCCTTAAAGCACTGAAAACACTGTACTATATGAACTAATTCATCATTATATCCTATATTTATTTATTTATTGTTGTTGTTCAATGAAGACTAAAGGAAAGTATGAATGATTGTTTAATGTTAATGTCTTGATGATTTTTTAATGTAAATTACTTTGATTGCGTGTGTGTCAACCAATTCAGTTTACCTTCCCTACCCTACCAACTGCCATCTCTAACCTTCCCTACTCTACCAACTGTCATCTCTAACCTTCCCTACTCTACCAACTGTCATCTCTAACCTTAGAGTTCTAGAATAGTTTATAAATTTATTATATTCAGTTACTTACAGCAATCTACTCATTCAGGACTTTTCATTTTACTCAACATACAAGTTTATAGATTTATTATATTCATTTACTCACAGCAATCTACCCATTCAGGACTTTTAATTTTACTCAACATACAACTTTATAAATTTATTATATTCAGTTACTCACAACAATCTACCCATTCAGGACTTTTCATTTTACTAAACATACAAGTTTATAGATTTATTATATTCAGTTACTCACAACAATCTACCCATTCAGGACTTTTCATTTTACTCAACATACAAGTTTATAGATTTATTATATTCAGTTACTCACAGCAATCTACCCATTCAGGACTTTTCATTTTACTCAACATACAAGTTTATAGATTTATTATATTCAGTTACTCACAGCAATCTACCCATTCAGGACTTTTCATTTTACTCAACATACACTCACTCAACCAAATTTTTTGGAAGTATTAAAACAACAAACCTAAGATTTTAAGAGCTAAAAATACTCTTTCAAATTTTCAAAGCATTTATTGTCAGAAATTTCAAATTTTTTGAAAGTTTTGTGAATTTTCTCAATTTTTTCGATTTATCTTTAAGTTAAGTTTATTAATTGACAAACTTGACAAAATTTTATTTCTGATTTCAGAAATTGAAAGAAATCATGGTTGATGATACTGATACTATGGATCTGAAGGTAACAGTTGACCGTAAGATTGAAATCTTAAATGTATTTCTTTTATCACGACTCCTCGTATTATATCTATTTATGTCATTGTAATGCATGGGTATTATTAAGTGCAAAAAAGTTTTTGCCGAAATTTTAATTTTTTCTAGTTTTTTAAAGATTTTATAACAGTTTAATAATAGTTTTAATAACATATATAGTTTTATTCAGTTTTACTAAAATTGTTTAAAAGCAGGTCGATAAAGTTACTTAATCACCCTATTGTAGGGTGATTAAGTAACTTTATCACCCTACAATGAGACAAATTATATGAATGAAATTTGAAATTTTAATAGTAGGGTGAAAACGTTACTTTTTCGCCCTGTTTTAGGGCGATTAAGTCACTTAATCACCCTACAACGGGAAATATTAGGTGTGATAAATCCATCAAAATTTAAAAAAGTTACTTTTTTCCCCTGTTGTAGGGCGATAAAGTAACCGGGAAATATTAGGTGTGATAAATTCCATCAAAATTTTAAAAAGTTACTTTTTCCCCCTGTTGTAGGGCGATAAAGTAACCGGGAAATATTAGGTGTGATAAATTCCATCAAAATTTGATAAAGTTACTTTTTCCCCCTGTTGTAGGGCGATAAAGTAACTTTTTCGCCCTGCAACAGGGAAATATTAGGTGTGATAAATTCTCTCAAAATTAAATAAAAGAGCTATTGAGAAGAACAAAAATGTTTTAAATTTACAATATGTAAGTAAATAGATTTGTTTTTCTTTCATTTGTGCGAAACAAAGCTGTAGTTTTCAGTTTATTCAGATTTAATCCTGAAATTACTTTTTAAGGATCAAACATCCCGCCATGACCAGAGTTTTTACTACATCGCTTACCTAGCCAATCATATATGAGAGACCATAACTCTTATGATTGGCTTTCTCTATGCCCGAAATTTTAAAAAGAGTATATCGTTTCTCCCGAGTTTCCTTTTTGGGGTCTTAACATTTCTGATGGAAAAAATCTTTACCCTAAAATAATCATAAAATATTCCGCACAATATATACAAATCTTATCCTACAATAATTAGGAAATATTCCGCACAATGTACACAAATATTATACTGAAATAATTAGGAAATATTCTGCACAATGTATGCAAATCTTATTCTGAAATAATTAGGAAATATTCTGCACAATGTATATACAAATCTTATTCTGTAATAATTAGGAAATATTCCGCACAATGTATACAAATTTTATCCTACAATAATTAGGAAATATTTCGCACAATGTGTACAAATCTTATTCTGAAATAATTAGGAAATATTCTGCACAATGTATTCCTTCGATCCTTACTTTCGTTCAAACTAATGCCCTGTGATAACAGAATTTAAAAGGTTACTCATCGACATTGCAAAAATGTTATTCTGAAATAATTAGGAAATATTCCGTACAATGGACTGTGATGGAAGCGGAACTATATCCCAGAAAGAACTCCTGGATTTCCTGAAAGCAGTGTCAGGAGATATTGATGCAGAGGAGGTATTTCCTTAAAGGAATTCCCTTGCAAAGATGGCAATAACTTAACTGTACCCTTGTCCCTTGAAGCCTTAATCTGATCAATAGTGTGGAAGATTATAATTTTTCTACCTTTATCGATAATCTTTTCATATTTTCCTGCAGCTTAAATGCGCGTGCAAGAAATTACAGCCGATTAAATAATCACTTTTTTAAAATTATAAACAAGGATGTTTTGCTATTTTTTTCTTTATTGATAAACGAAAAATTATTTTTGTTTTGTTTTATTTCCTCGATTTAACGATGTTTTTTCGATCTGTACCGACCGTTAACAACGACCTTTCATTAACGATAAAATACATTTTTGGTCGGAATACCCTAAGATCAGAAAATCTTAGGTCAGAAAAATTAAGGTAATTTCCCTTTCTAAAAAAACCATGTCAGACGACATTCTTAAACAACTGATAAATGTTGCAAAAATTAAGTTTTTTTTCCTCGATGAAAAAAATGATGTTTATTTTTAGAAAACAATTGTATCTTTGTTTCGTCTTTTAAAAGTTCGTTCGTTGTGACCCATCGTTTTTATTTAAAAAAATATAGGTTTAAGAAGAAATGAAAAACGAAACGAAAAACTATAATTTTTTCGATCTATTAAAAAACGATTAACAACCCCATAGATTTACTGTAAGGTCTTATGTCTGAGTCTATAGAGATAAATTCATAATTTCAACCACCTTTATAGGGATAAATCCAGTTAATTTGATACTAATCCACTTTTTGTGTTTGAAAGATTTAAACGCACTCTCGTTACCGGGAATTCCGGATATCTTGAGGTACAGAGCCGAACTCTGGGCAACTAAGTCAATTTGTAATAACAGCGGAATTCAGCCATTTGACTGTTGTGTACCTTGCCCTATGGATTAATACAATTTAGTGTTAATACTTTTGAATGTTTAATATAACTCCTGGAAAGTTTGTCACAAAGTTACAAAACTGTCAGGAAATATATCAATTATGCAGTTATCTTTAGGCAGAAGTAATTGATTTGTTTATAGTTTATATATAATTAATTTGTTTAGGTCAAGGATATATTTAACAAACTGGATTCCTCAAATGATCGTTCAATCGATTTTGACGAATTTAAGGTAATTATATAATTTGATCGATAAATTGTAATGTTTGAATTTTTCATTTACACCAAATTTTCTGCTTATAGGAAGAACAAGCTTTTCAATAAATTACAAAATTATGAAATCTGTTTTCTGTAATATGTTGTTACATATAAATTTACATTTTTGCGACAAAGAAACGTGGACACGTTTGATCCAAAGGAGCTCTAATAGTCAAATTTGACCTCAGATGACCACAAGGACGGTTTTTGGTCGTCAGGAGTAAACGATTTTGCCTTCAAAAATATTAATTTAGGAAATCCATTAAATTTTTTTTGATATTGTTGGACGATGGGGAAAAATATTTCGTAGAAGTTTTGTTTAAGAAGGTTGAACAAAGAGTCCTGGGCTGAGAACTATTGTGTTTTTTTTCCCAAAATCCCTTCTGGGGTCCAACCAATGAGAGTTTCCTCCCTGGGTTTCCCTGGTTCTGATTGGCTGTGCAGTTTCTGTAAAAGACTAAGGCTTAAATTTAGACACTGCAGATTAACAAAAAGATCAAGATCATGCATTGATCTCGATATCCACAATACAAGAGTTCTAGCTGTGGAAGGTTATCAAGTTGATGATTTGTGTCCTTAAAGTTGATGATTTGTGTTCTTAAAGTTGATGATTTGTGTCCTTAAAGTTGATGATTTGTGTTCTTAAAGTTGATGATATGTGTTTATAAAGTTGATGATTTGTGTTCTTAAAGTTAATTTTATGTGTTTATAAAGTTGATGATGGACAATATGAAGAGCCTGGGTTGGACTAAGGAGACCCAGGATGCGGATACTATAAGCGAGGAGGAAATTAGGTACATACAGGGTGTCCCACGAAACATGACAGTTGGTGAAAAGTTTTAAATGTCTTCTTCCCTAATTTGTAGAGTTGTTTGATACAAAAGAGAATAATAAAATATTATAAGGCAGTCATATCATAGTAATATTGAGTAAGAAGAGATTCTTGCTAATTTTAAACATTTTGTAATAATTTTACAGAAATTTTTGCCAAAATACAAAGCTTCAAGAACAAGAACAAACAACTGTATTAGAGCCAAAATATGTCCTCTTGAATAAGCATTGAATCTTTTTAAATATTTACTAACTAGAGAATTTGTTTTATTTTTTTTCAGACGTGTGTTTGATATAGTGGACAGAGATAAAAGTGGCTCTTTGAGTAAAAGAGAAGCAAAAAGGGCTTGTAATCTTATTGCGGAGAAATTCGGAATTAAAGAGGTAAGTTTGTGAACCCTCATAGCGGAGAAATTTGGAATTAAAGAGGTAAGTTTGTGAACCCTCACGGCGGAGAAATTCGGAATTAAACAGGTAGAGTTATGAACCCTCATATCGGAGAAATTCGGAATTAAAAAAGTAGGTTTTTGAACCCTTAAAGCGGAGAAATTCGGAATTTATCAAGTAGGTTTTGGAACACTCATAGCAGAGAAAGTCGGAATTAAAGAGGTAGGGGTTTAACCCTCATAGCGGAAAAATTTGGAATGAAAGAGGTAAGTTTGTGAACCCTTATAGGAGAGAAATTTGGAATGAAAGAGGTAAGTTTGTGAACCCTTATAGCGGAGAAATTTGGAATGAAAGAGGTAAGTTTGTGAACCCTTATAGGGGAGAAATTCGGAATTAAAGAATTAAGTATGTAAAACTTCATAGCACAACTAAGGAGGTAAGCTAGTGAACCACCATAACGGAAACATTTGGAATTTAAAAAGTAGAAAATTCGCATTTAAAAATATAAGATAAAATAAATTACAGCATAAAAGTGATATATACTAGAAGTAAACTCGAAATTTAAGAGAAAAATTTGAGCTTTAAAAGCTATATTTGTGAAATCAAGTAACGGAGAAATTAAAATGAAAAGTTGACGAGTAAAGCTTTGCCTACACATAGTGAACAAATATTCATGAACTGGGTAACAATTGAACGCAGATAATGAAAATAGTTTTATTTAAAGATCTACTACTAATATAGCAAGTTGATCAAGTAATTGAGAAATGACCTTTTTAGTTCTCTTAATATTAAAACATATGTCGCGAAATTTAAATCCTTGACAAAAAAAGGAAAAACACCCTCAGTCATATAATTTTGTTTGTTTATCTAAAGGGAATGTAAGCGTAATTTCAAGTGACCTCTCCGTGCAAAAAGGGCAATGCCCGATTTACAACGGTACCCTTTAAACCTTTGACAGTTCAAATCGAGAGCTCTGTGTTTAAATCTCTTGAAAACCACTTATTGTAAAACGTGGTATGCGTACAACACAACAGACATATTGTGAACTCAACACAGCTGATGCGTTACTTGACAGTACCGAATATTTTAAATTAAAAATTTGAAAGAAAATTAATATTTTCTGTCAATCCTTATAGAAAGTTACAAGGTTACCCACAAAGGATGTGATTGTACGGAAATTTGTACTCTCTTTCTTTATATTCATGATTCCCTGCTGCTAAAAGCTTCTCTTTTTTGAAAAATCTTCAAATAAGACACTCAAGGCAAGAGACTTAATTCAAACATTGTATCGTTATATTTCAAGAGTTTCAAGGCGTCTTTACAGTCTATTTTGTCTGAGTAACACTGTATATCAATATTTTAAAACAATTATATCAAACAAACAAACAAAGTGTTAAGCAAAAAAACAGGGTTGTGAATCAGGCCTTGCCATCTTTGCATTGAATATTATTCTTACAGTCCCTTTAAGTTTGTTTACTCCAGGTTGATAAGTGGTTGAGTGAGCAGGATGTGGACGGAGATGGGGTTCTCAGCTACGCTGAGTTTAAGATGAGCATTGCAGGAAACCTTCTCATTGATATTTAAACCAGATTCATCTAGATTGTACTCGTCTGTAGATATAAGAAATAAATTTGTCCCATATCCTGTTTCATCCTCTGTACATGCTTTACTTGTCAGTCTGTCCATGTTTGTTAAAGGAACATCAAATTTGGAGAAAAAAATCCTGGAAACATATAGAAGAAAAGAAAAATCCACCAAAATTTGAAAATTTATTAAAAATGGCCGACTTTCAGAGCAAGAGTTAAAAGCTAAAATTATTTACAGGAAAAAAGGCGCGATGTGCACTAAAAACCTCATTGTATTTCAGTTAAACCCTAAATCGAAAGAATTTATCAAATGTCGTTTTGACAATTTTTCAATGGGTTTTATACTATTTGACGTAAATCTCAGTATGCGAAAATAAATTAATAGCCATAAATATGCGGGAACAGTTTTAAGAGCTCCATATAATCATTTAATTAAAAAACTAAATATCTGCATCAGAAAGTGAAGAATACAACATTTGATGAATTCTTTCCATGTATGGCTTATTTAGGGTTAACCCGTAGAAGTGCATATAGTTTTAACAATGCAAATAAGGAATTTTTTAAATTTTACATAACTACAAAATTCACATAACTACTTCCCCTTTTCTGCTACGATAAAAAGATTCAGTTTTCTTTATAGATAAATGAAATCTTTTTGAAACAGCGATATTCCAAGATGTAATTGTCCAAATTCCAATTTATCAAATAACAACACAAATGTTTTAATGTTTTATATCCCTGTATAATTATATATAAGGAATACCGTATTCAGAAAAGTGCATTTTGTATTAACTCTTTGTGAATAATCAACTATTGGACATCATATACGACTCTTTATATTAATTCAATGAAGACGACTTTTGACTATCAAGTTTTTAAACAGCATCAATACACATAAACATGAAAACAAAGAAAAGTTGTTAATTAACACTTTTTTTCACTTATAGCTTGTAATTAAATAGAAAAGTCGTCTTCACTTTCTCTATATCTATAGATAAATTTGGTTGGGTGTCTGTTTGTTTGTATCCAATAAACGTCAAAACGACAGAACCCCAGAGAAGGTTTATGAATGGTCAAAATTTCAAAAATTTGTGTTTACGCGTTTTTTATTTTGTAAAAAATTTTAAAATATTTAAAATCCGCAATTTGTTTTTATAAAATCCGCGAAATTTTTTTTTTCTTTGTTTTTCAATGTTACAATGAGAACATATTCAAAATTGAAATAGAAGATGGGCGCGAAGCGCCCTAAAAGCATAGTATATATATAACAGCTAATCTGAACGGGGCCAAATTTTGTTAATTATTTAATAATAAAAAAAACTAATTCGGAAAACGTATCCACCCCCAAAGTGAGAGTTTTGAACGTCGAATTTGCGCTCAAACTCAGGATTTACAGATGTTTCAAAAGTTTAATATGTCTCAAATGAGTCCGAAAGAAGTTTTCCACAACACTGCATACACAGTTCAACTACCTTACAGCCGGTCACTCCCTTAAAATGCAAGCCTAAACTGTAATAGAGAAGTAGTTTAACTATTTGTATCTAGTTTAACCATGTATTTTTCTATTCAATAGTTGTGATCTCTGAACACAAGACATAACACCATAGAGGAATTGATTACTCGTCACAAACGGCTGGACCGAATAGCCTAAAATTTTTTTTTTCACGGACAACGCCGGGCACTTCAGCTAGTCTATAATAAACTTCTAAAATTTCTTAAACGTATCACATCTTTCGAATAATGCTCATGGCCGCCGGAAGACAAAAAAGCTAATATGCGGCATGGAAAGTAATAATGTTGTGGCTTATGGCCGCCTGGCTTCCCCCGCTCTTCTAGCAATACTATTTCTCATTGTTTTTAGTTTAAAGTGAAGTTTAAATTATTTGTCTTATTGTTTATAGTATAGATTAATATAGATTAAGTAAAATAGCCGATAGGACAATATATGTAGTCTTTTCAAAATTTGGATGAAACTCGTTCACAATAACCCTGAGGCAGAAGCCTAGAGGAGTTTTGCGAAGTCGGCATAGGGTTACAAGACAGAGAGAGCCTATGAGTAAATCAAATAACCATTTTTTCTTTCTCTTAAAAATGCGTAAACCATTTACTTTATATTTTACCCTGTACATATTAACAAATAATAAACTTATTAATTTATATTTTATCAATCTGGAAGAACCTTGTAGGGGTTCAGAATACATCTGGGATCCATAACCTAACAAAATCAATATTTTCAAATTAAGAGAATAATTTCTATGAGAGACATGTCGTCTTTTTAAAGAAATTGTGATAGTCTTTGTAAATCTTATTTATACAAGTATAATCCTTACAACAATTATAAAAAATGTCCCTTGAAAGTATGGATATCTGATAAAAGCTCATGCATCCAATTCAAATCGTCTTCCATCAAGTACAAACAAAACATGTGACAAGAGAGAAGGCACGAAGCACCTTAAATTTCTAAAAAATATTGTTTCCTGTTTGATGTTTTTCATGAGTTGTATAGCAGGCTGAGATTTAGAGAATCCTATTATATATAGATTAATTAAAATAACAAATAGGAAACTGATAGTCGTCTTTTCAAGATTTAGGGGTTATTCGTTCACAATAACCCAGAGGCAGAAACCCAAAAGAGTTACGCGCAGTCGGAGTAGAACAGGCTCTCTATCTGTCTTGTAATTCCATGCAGCATGAGCGTAACTGCTTTGAACGTCTGCCTCAGGGTTATTGTGAACCATTAATTGTTGAAAGACGACATCTAGTGTTCTATTTGTATTATTAATTATCTATGCCTATATAGTTTCTCTTCTTAAACCCTAAACCATGCTCAGCAGAGATACTTCCTCTAAACAAAAATACTGTTAATATCATTATGATTATAGAACATTTCGAATCCCAGAGCTGCATGCCTGATTCACAACTGTACCCTTTACAGCTTTATCTGATCAGTAATCATAAAGATATCATCGTTTTTCTATCTTGAAAAATAAAATGTAAAGTTTTGTCAATTGCCTTATTGTCTCTGCTGCATGAGTCCGCAGGTCACTATTAAAAGAACCACAATTAAAAATAATCAATTTTAAATGTGAATCAGGCAAGATAATATTTATTCTGAAATTATACTAACGTCACTTTAGCTCTTACCTAAATTAAAAAAATTTCCTAAAATTTTACAATTAAAGGGAATGTAAGCGTAACTATAAGTAACCCTCCATGAAAATTTGCCAATGCCAACTTTGCCAAGTTCACAACAGTACCTTTAAAAGCTTTGCCTGCTCAAGTATCAATTGGATATCAATGTTTTTAATTTGAAAACTGATTATTTTCAATCATTATTTACATTTCAACTACAGGAAAACATAAAGAAGTTATCACAATTAAACACTTTTAAACCTAGAAAAACGACAATATCTTACGCGTTTTTAAAGAAGAATAAAGAAAAATTAGAAGAACTCTTTCTCTAACATAAGAGGATTGAGGACAACTGGAATTGTAAAGAATAACATTATTGTAACTTTATGTAAGGCAAGTAGTCCAGAGTCCTATCCCAAGCAATCAATTTTACTAAATATAGTTTTTTACACATTATTAGTTTCATTTCAAATCACTCCTTGATCTTTATTCTGTTAAATTACTCCTTTATCTTTAGTCTATTAAATTACTCCTTGATCTTTAGTCTGTAAATTACTCCTTGATCTTTAGTCTGTTAAATTACTCCTTTATCTTTAGTCTGTTAAATTACTCCTTTATCTTTAGTCTGTTAAATTACTCCTTGATCTTTAGTCTGTAAATTACTCCTTTATATTTAGTCTGTTAAATCATTCTTCATCTTCAGTCTGTTAAATTACTCCTTGATCTTTAGTCTATTAAATTACTCCTTGATGTTTAGTCTGTAAAATTTCTCCTTTATCTTCAGTCTGTTAAATTACTCCTTGATCTTCAGTCTGTTAAACAACTCTTTTATCTTTAGCCTGTCAAAGTACTCCTTGATCTTTAGTAAGTCAAATTACTTGCTGATCTTTAGTCAGTCAAATTACTTACTGATCTTCAGTCTGTTAAATTACTCCTTGATCTTTAGTCTGCTAAATTACTCCTTTATCTTTAGTCTCTTAAATTACTCCTTTATCTTTAGTCTATAAATTACTCCTTTATCTTTAGTCTTTTAAATTACTCCTTGATCTTTAGTCTGTTAAATTACTCCTTTATCTTTAGTCTGTTAAATCACTTCTTTATCTTTAATAAATACTATTGTAATTTAAATAGAATATAAAAATCTGATCTAATTGATGATTTCTTTTTATAATTAATAAATTACATATTCCACCTGTAGTTAGCAGTCCATTCGTAGAGAAAGGGTTCTATCAAATCATGAACCTCCTAAACATTTATAAATATAAAGCAAAGTAGTAATCTCTGTTTGTTTGTTTGGATGTCCGATCATAACTCAGAAACCCCTTGACCAATTTACTTTAAATTTTGATTGGGAAACTTTGGAGAACAACGGGAATGCTCTTAGCTTGGTTTTGAGACTCTAAGTAAGAAATACAAAGTTCTGGCGCGAAAATCTGTCAGAATTTAGTCAAACTAGCACTGTGACTCTTAAAAACATCCATGCCAACGACAACAAAAAATTAAAAGCGAATTTGCAAGGCCAAAGGACACTTCAAAGTTAAAATATTAATGCTAACTTTTAGGATTTAAGACAAGTTATATACAGTGAAAACCAGAACACTCTGGAATAGGAAGTCGACTTTTAAACCTAAGGTATAACTTTAAACAGTCCGATGAGCATGATGCCAAGCAATTGTGCAATGTAAGTCGACCCATTTCACTTAATAAGCGATTTAATAACTTACTGTAAAGATATACGTCTTCCTATAGTACAGTTTTCTGGTTATCACTGTAAATGGTATGTTTTTTAAAATAAAATATTTGATTTTATTCAGAGGCAATTAATAACTTGTGCATAATCTGCTAAGGATATGGTTTCTGTGTGCATTAGTTATTAAGAAGTTCCCAAGAAACCTAATTTATTCCTTTTCATAAAACTTTTTGGGAAAATTAATGAACAGAAAGTTTAAGTCCATTTTTTAATTCCTGTCCATACACCCCCTTTTACTTTAAAAATCATTATCTTATAAATAAATCCCCGAAAGAAGATATTTGTGACGATAGAAATTATGAATTTAAAGGAACTTTCAACGTAGTTTAAACTTCCGTTTACAGATATGCATTTTCGGTCCACACCGGTACCCTTAAACAGTGCTCAATTCTGACAATGTTCATTACTATCTCTGCAGCATAAATCCGCAAGTCACTTCTACAAATAAACCACTATTAAAAATAATCATTTCTCCGAGAGAAAAAGAAGGAGAATTCATTATTGTTAAAACTAATATGACATCTAGTCTACCCAATTGGCACCTTAGAGTACTCCTTTGTAGTAACATTGAGGTGAAGATTGCCATCCCCAACATGACCGTAACCCAGGCATCGGATCATTTTATCCCCTTAATCAATCAATCATTCAGTAAATCAATTTTTAGATAATCAATTTCAGAATTAAGTAATCAGGAATATCAGGAAAGAGCTCTGAAAGCCTCACCAGGTTGGAGAACCCAGACCGCCAAATAACACACTTTATGCATTAAGTTATGAATCAAAATTATACATTTATCATTCTCAAATATTAGGATTATATAAAGAACATTTTTAGGATTCTTTTCATGATTCTAAAGTGTGTAATTGCTGAATAAGAGCGCATAATCACGAGGTTGATCCATTCTGGAGGCTTGCTCTCAAGTTGCAAAACATATGTATTAATAAAACATGAACTTACCCAGTCTTTTGCGCATATCAAGCACAGCATTGTAGAATACAGAGAGGGGTAGGGATATATCATACTTGTAGCAATATCCATCTAAAAGTAGGGATTCTGCTACTCTTTCCCTACAATATATCATACTTGTAGCAATATCCATCTGGTAGTAGGGATTCTGCAACTCTATCCCTACAATTTATCATTCTTATAGCAATATCCATCTAATAGTAGGGATTCTGCTACTCTTTCCCTATAATATATCATACTTGTAGCAATTTCCATCTAATAGTAGGGATTCTGCAACTCTATCCCTACAATATATCATACTTGTAGCAATATCCATCTAATAGTAGGGATTCTGGTACTCTTTCCCTGTAATATATCATACTTGAAGCAATATCCATCTAATAGTAGGGATTCTGGTACTCTTTCCCTATAATGTATCATACATGTAGCAATAGCCATCTATTAGTAGGGATTCTGCTACTCAATCTACAGTCTATATATAAATTTTGCTCTTCTGTCTGTTTGTATCCAATAAACGTCCATACTGCTAACCTGATAGGGACCAAACTTTTTGTGGCAATTAACATGACCCCAGGGAAGGTTTATGAATGCTCATAAAAATTGAAAAATGGATAATATATGGTAACATTATTATCCACTAATTTAATCAAAAGAAAATTCTCAATCATTTTCACTGATTGCAAAGACGATGGAATGGCGACAACTTATTTAATAAATTTACAAAAATCTCCTAATTATAGGTAGTTAACAATTGAAGTAACACTCTTAGAAAAAACATTATTATCCTCAAATTATAATAACAATCTCTCAACTGTGGAACTAAATTCATCACAACTAATCAAGGAGCTTAATTTTTTAAGGATAAAAACGTTTAAATTATGGAAGATTCTTGAACCTAAGCTGCCAGATATCCCTCTGCTTGGATGGAACAACTGCCACTGTTCCATCTGTTACTGTTCCTGTTCCCAGCATGTTCTCTAAATATAAGGGAACATGGAACATCAATATAAAAATCTATCAAATATGATAAATTCACTGATAAAAACTGGGGTTTTGATTTGTTTACTTGTTATCCTAGCTAACAACTAGCTTATTGATTTGTTAACTTGTTGTTATAGTTAGAAACCGGTTTTCTGATTTGTTTACATGTTGCTCATGCTAGAAAATAGTTTTCTGATTTGTTTACTTGTTTAGCTAGGAACTAGTTTTTATAATTTGTTTAATTTTTATTCTAGCTAGAAACTAGTTTTATAATTTGTTTAATTGTTATTCTAGCTAGGAACTGGTTTTTAAATTTGTTTACTTATTGTTCTAGCTAGGAACTAGTTTTCTGATTTGTTTATTGTTATTCTAAATCTAGTTAGAAACTAGGATTTGATTTGTTTACTTGTTATACTAGTTAAAAACTGGCTTCAGATTTGTTTTTTAAAAAAACGAGTTTTTTATTTGTTTACTAACAGTTCATCAAAAACCAGGTTTTCTGATTTGTTTACTTGTTTGTTTACCTAAGAACTGGTTTAGTTTCTCCTCATCATGATTAGAGTTGCTCCCGCTTGTCTCTAACAATACATAAATATATGAATTTATAGATGTACAAATATATGAATATTTAGATATGAAAAAATTATTTGAAAAAATTATAATTTTATTTTTCTAATAATATAATGCATCAATTTCCCTGAAATTATATTTTTCACCTTTAAAGAGCTATTTATCACGTAATAAACTAATATTCATTTTGCACTCAAACCAATTTATGTTACAGAAATTGCAAGTAGTCCAAAAACGAGTGCTTAGAATCCAATGCATTTTGTTGCGGGTCCGGATCCAGGAAGCCAAAAACTTGTGGATCCAACGGATCCGGATCCTTAGCACCGTCAAAAACTATCTTGGGGTGGTTCTGAAAAAAAAAAATTCAGAAACCTAAAAACTAATCTGACAAGACCATCTGTTGCAAGGGGAAAAAACTTTCCGATTTTATTTTTTACCTTTTTGGGTCAGTATTGCCAATTACAAAATAAATAGCAGTTATATGTTGTATCGGAACCGACTGAGATTGAAATAATTAAATATTACCGCGTCAACAAAATTAAAGTGCGTAAATCGAAATTTAACTATGATCATATTTCTGGTTTATAATAATAAGCTTGCTCTAAGATGGTCGTATGCAGTCAAAACATAAACAAACAAAATGTGAACATAGCAGACGAAACTCTTACAGATTACAGCTTTCGCAGTAGGTATCACTATACTAAATCAAAGAAATATTTAAAAAGACGATATCAAATTCGTCACTGAATTCCCATGTTTATTGGGACACCCTGTATTTAAAGAATCAGCTTCAAATTAAAACATTTTAATGTATTTTAGTATCTTATTCATGATGTTTAATGCCTTGTGGCAATCCTCAGTAGATCCTTAGTAGATTAACCATAACTTATTTATATTTAGATACAAATATATTTTTGTGCAGAAAATGGAATTTTTATGAAGATTTGTTTTCTCTTTTTCTACATCTTAGTTTACCTAACTCCTTAATTAACTAATTAACTAATTTACTAATTGGCTAACTGCCTATTGACTAAATAAAAAAAGACTAAATAAAATCTCAATGAAGTTGTACTATGTTAGTTTGTTGTTTATTTATTTTTATTTATTTTTATATAAAATCCTAATTGGCTGATAAAACTGTACATCAAAAATAAAAAATTATCTGAATACACGAATAATTTACAGTTTGACTAGCTGACAGGTTGATTAATTAACTAATCAATTAACTAAACAACATTTTAGTAATAACATGTGTTATACTATTTTTGTAAAATGATGTAAAATGGTGGGCTGTCTAATTGACCAACTTAACAACTGGATAGGGGAATAACGGACATAAAAACTAATGAATAATGCAAACTGACTAACTGACTAACTGACTAACTGACTAACTGAATAACTGACAAACTGAATAACTGTCTAACCGACTAACTGACTAACTGACTAACTGTCTTACTGACAAAATCCCAAACTGGTCAACTAACAAACTGACTTACTGACAAACTGAAAAACTTGCAACCGAATGAACTAAAAACTGACCTGACAATCTGACAAACTGACAAACTGACAAACTGACAAACTGACAAACTGACAAACTGACAAACTGATAAATTGACAAACTGACAAACTGACAAACTGACAAACTGACAAACTGACAAACTGCAAAACTGACAAACTGATAAATTGACAAACTGACAAACTGACAATCTGACAAACTGACAAACTGACAAACTGACAAACTGACAAACTGCAAAACTGACAAACTGATAAATTGACAAACTGACAAACTGACAAACTGACAAACTGACAAACTGACAAACTGCAAAACTGACAAACTGCAAAACTGATAAACTGACAAACTGACAAACTGGCTACCCGACTAACCGATTGACTTTTTAGCTGACCTGTCACACATTCCATGGCTGCAGTGTCCATAAACTCACAAGATGATAATATTTCTCCTAAGCTACACTTGGCGTTCTTAAACACAGTTATCACGCCCTCAAAAGATGGAACAGCTGAAATTAACCAAGTATTTAATTGAAATTAAATATATTTTTATTTTAAGAATGAGAAGAAAATCTGAAAAGACCCCAAAAATGGAATCTTCAGATTGCCATCGGAAGAGATACCTAACTCACCTAACCCCCCTCCCGCTCCACACGGCAGACGGTAAAGACGACCTAAAACTCTAAAATTATGATGATTTGAAACTTGATGGGTCTGCATTCAGTGGTATAGTTTGAAGAACCAGTTTGGGACAGGCAAAATAGGTTGGGAATTGGGATTAAAATCGACTGTGGAAGACTTGGGATTGGAAGATTTGGGATTAAGATGAGGATTAGGAAGTCGGAATGATTTAGACAGGGAGTAATTAAAATAGATTGGGAATTGAAATGGCTATCAACTGAAGAGGAAGTTGGGATTGGGATTCAATGAATGTTAGGATGATAAGAAGGTTGGGTAAATTGGGAGTTGGTGTAATAGGGAAGGTTGGTTAAAGGAATAGATGCTTTTTGGGAACCACTGTATTGGAAATTAATAAGCAAAATATTGGAGCTTAGTATAAAGATACAGATAGAATAAAATTCGTGTATATAAAACTATAAGAGAATAAGTGATTTAGTGGATAAAAATGTTTATTAGGGGTGAAGACGACATTTTGAAAGGAATTAGGGGATTATTGTCAAGCTAGATTAAGAGAGAGAAATGAGTATAAAATCATCATTAGAATTATTTAATGACCCGTGACACAATATATCTTTGCAACTCAATTTCGTGGATCGTAGATATTTGAGACTATGATTGATTTTATATTGAATATATTCTAAATTAAAAAATATAAAAGGTTTTCACCGTTAGGTTGCAAAGACATTGGGAATGGGAATTTGAAAATGTGAGTTCGTGGCATCGACTCAATACCTTTTCCTATTAAACGAAATTTACTCAAGTGTGACCAGAGATGCGCTTTGTTATGAGGTTTCGTTTTTAGATATTTAAGGTGTGTGACTTTAAAACTCCTCTTTACATGGCATTTCAAAATTGTATTTTTGATAATTTTGCTGTACTATCAAATTTGGTTATTAACCAAAAAAAAATTTTTTTTAAACGAAATATCAAAACCATCTTTTTCAAAAAGAAATATGAAAACTATTTTCTAAAAAAAGAATATGAAAACTATTTTCTCAAAACGAAATATCAAGACGAAATATCAAAACTTTTTTTTAAAAACGAAATATCAAAACTATTTGATCAAAACGAAATATCAAAACGAAATATCAAAACGATTTTATCAAAACGAAATATCAAAACAATTTTATCAAAACGAAATACCAAAACGAAATATCAAAACGAAATATCAAAACGAAATATCAATACGAAATATCAAAAGGAAATATTAAAAGGACATATCAGAACGAAATATCAAAACGAAATACCAAAACAAAATAGCAGAACGAAATATCAAAACGAAATATCAAAACGATTTGATCAAAAGTTCTGAAAAACGGTAAAAACTATGCAGAATGGAATAAAAGCAAACTTATCAAGCATGCTGTTTTGAAATTGATTACATATCATGGGTAGCTTTAAGTCGGCTCCACCCTTTTTTTTCGAGTTAGGGTAGCTGGGCTGATAGACAAATATGTGTATTAAGTCAAATTTTCTAATCCCTAAATCTTTAAAACCTGATGTTGTAAACCTTTACCCAATTCATAAAAATAATAACTTTAAAAAAGTGTAAACCTTTGATTATTTTTTAAGGTTTAACTTATAATTGATCCAACAGAACTCATAGTTAGGACAATCCAACATCGGGTTGCAAAGATATAGCAGAGATATCCAGAAAACTATAAAAAATGCATACATTTTCAAGACTGGGCCGATTGTGAAGTGTCGTAATGCATTGGGCTTTGATTTTACTGCAATAACTCACGTTTGCGTTTTGAAGTCAAAGACATGCAATTTTTATAACTAAACTAAAATACTTGTTTTCAGCTTTAGTTTTAAGATAAATTTGAAACAAAATTAAAAATGTGCTTCAAAGCTTGCAAACCTCTGGATCACTGTGATAAGGATTTACAAATTGGAGTTTGTGACAAAAACTCAATTTCTTTATGTTTCCCATTTAAACTAAGGGAAGATATATCGTGCAATCTATATAATAATAGCTTAAAAAAATTGGCTGATTTTTTAGGGAACCCTTGAGTACCCCGGAGGTAACATACCGGCTAAAAAAATTAAAAATTCTAATTTGTTTTATTGCAAATTTTTTCTGAAGTTTTTCTAAAATTCTACTGGCAACGCCGGGCACTTCAGCTAGTAATCTACAGTGTTTGGTGGTATGGAAAGGGGAGCGCTGCAAATAATATATGTATATTTAGGCAATTAACGATGCTGACTAACCTAGTAAAGCAAGATTGATTGATTTTGGTCGAGTGGGACAAGAGATGGCAACCTAAAATATAATAATTTTTGTTTAGCAAAATTAATTAAGTTAACTTCTAAAGGTGATCGAATTTCGTCAAACTAATTAGTAATTTTTCGATCTTTTAACCAACATTATCGATCTATGATTATCTCAACAAAGGGAGGTTATAATTATTTACAACTACTTTATTAGGAAGTTAAGGGAATTTTACTTTACCATGGGTTTCCAAGATAAATTTTGTATACGAAAAAGTAGTTGTACACAATTTTACCATTCTTTTGAGATGAAAATGCGCGAATTTTTCCCGAAAACTTCGCAGAACGGGTGGTTATTTTATATAACTGTCCAAAGGGGGTTAAGTAACCTAACCTCCCTCTGTTGGGGGAATCATAGGTCGGTAATGTTGGTCAAAAGGCGGTACAACAAAAGGCGGTAATGTCCCATGGTACAACTAAGAAAAATAACCACCCGATCTACGTGAAAATAATCGCACATTTTCATCTCAAAAGGCGATAAAATTGCGTACACGTAGTTTTTTGCAGAAAAACCCGCGTTAAAGTAAAATGCCCTTGAATTCCATCTAAAAATGATCAACTCTTCAGGCCAAATATAACAATTTATTTTATCTTATTTTGGAGCAAATATGATTAGAAACAGCTGCGAGTTTTTTCTGATTTCTAATTATGCAAGAATACAAAATCCCAGTTTAAGACCATGCCACTGACAGCCCTCCCCCCGCCTTAATTTATAATCGAACTCTGAAAAGGTACAGGGTGTCCCAATAAACATGAGAATTCAGTGACGAATTTGATATCGTCTTTATAAATATTTCTTTGATTTCTACTGAGAAAGCTGTAATCTGTAAGAGTTTCGTCTGATATTTAGTAAAACAAGAACATTGCAGTATACAAACTTGTCCGTCTTCATCGTAGACACATCTTTACAGATGGCTTTTGAAATAAGGTATTATAATATATAATGCTAATTCATAACAAAGACGATATCCAATTCGTCACTGAATTCCCATGTTTATTTGGACACCCTGTACCTTCCATCATACAGATTACAGAGAGCATTGATCAATTTCACTATGCGATTTTATAAAGACTGTGTAATTTTTGCTATGTGTCATTTTTTAAATATGACTTTTTATGTAAAAAAAACCCCACCTGCCAAAGGCGAAAATTTCAAGACTGAATTCTTGTCACACACTCTAATTTTTGGATCCTCTTTTTTTTGGTGGAAGATTAGAAATTTAAAAACTTTTTTGTTCTTCTCTTCACCTCTTCAAGTAGAATTGGCTAGATTTCAATATAGCATGAAATGAGTGGAGTCTTTGCTTCAAACTCAAATTTTCTATTTGAAAAAACTAGAATCTACGGCCTCGTGTTTCAAAGATAAATGAATTAGAATATCAGAGTTTGTGGCAAAGACGGAATTCCTTGCCTTTCATTTGCCGTGGATTAATTATAACCTTTGTAATGAAGCCCAGAGTTCCCTCCGAACCAATAAACAACTGCTTTAGATCATACCCAGTATTATCCTTCTTAAGGGTAGTCAAACAATCTATAACCTACAATTATATAAATATACAATTTGATTTCAGTACCTCGATTTTAATAACTTTAACCTATTCATATACATAAACATATATTATTATTATTAATAATAATGATAGAAAACATGATAGTAATAATGATAACTATAGCAATAGCTAAAAGCTATTGCAAAAAATAGCAATGGCAATAATAATTACTATAACAAAAGCAATGATGATAGTAGAAATAACCAGAAGATAATTACTTTTCAGCAAATTTTTTTTTGCTATATTTGAATTTGATATGTTACTCAAATAATAAATCTCCGAAAAAATTTTTAAACATTTAAAACAGAAAAAATACCTCTCCATTGGCTAGAACAGCTTCTACACCTAACACTGATCCATGCAAGCTTCCATATCTAGAGCAGAAAGAAATATCTAAAATTTATTTGAATACATAAAAAAATAATGTTAGAATTTTGATTTTTACAGAAAACACTGGATGTTAGGAACGTTTTTCTCCTGTCTGCAATATTAAAACAAAATTTAACAAAACTTACTTTTTTAAAAATATTGTTCCAATTAACATGTATATAATCTTGATTATAGGTTGTTGGTTATTCACTGCTGCTTACGATATTCTCCGGTGGGGGGGGG